AAAAAAAAAAAAATGCAGTTAACTCTAACCTATGTTCTGTTTCAATATTTATTATAATATTAAAATATTCTATAAATTAATTATTTCAATACGATTTTTAAAGAATACATATAAAAACACATTCAACGTTATTGGTACAAACAATTAAAATAATATTTTTTATGGGTTATTTGACAGTTGTCGAATGGTTTGGTGCAAAATGATTAAGTGGTACAGAATGATTAAAAAGCTCTCATGATATAATACAAAATAAAATATAATTGTTTAGTAATTATTTACAATGAAATTAAGATGCTGAATGGTTAATGGAGATAAATGATATAAAATCATTCAGAAAGTTTTAAAACATTTAAAAGACACACTTTTTTTTCCAAACAAGATTCACCTCTCAACGGTTCAGAAGCTGTCTCTTAATGAAACTTTGGTGGTGGGAACAGTGATGAACCTCCATCTAAAAGGTTGTTCGTTAAAGATTTCGTCCAAGTCGTCAAAGATTCTATCACTACAGTGTATACACATATATACATATAGAACACGTTTCAAATACACCATTTTTTGTTTGTACAACCAATGCACCTCTGATCTAAACCGTCCATTTTATTTATTTTTCAGTTTTTTTAATTAATAATCGATAACTATCTTTTCAACCTCATCAAAAGTTGACTGTAGATGAATTAATTGATGGTTAAGATGAGGTTGCATTGGTTATATAAATGTAATAGGTTGCAAAATAAACCACCTTCACACACACACACACATGTATATATATTGAAAATAAAACGATTAAGAAAATAAAAATACAAAAATGCCCTTCAACTTACAACATGTTGACTAACAAAGTTAAAGTCATGAATCATTTTCAAAATAAAGTCATGAATCATTTTCAAACCATAATATCTATTCTATCTATAGTATATTATAAAATATTTGACAAAAACTCTTAAAAATCATTTTTTATGCATGAAATACTATTTATTGATGCATATTACTCAAAATTCAAGATTACAAAATGCATAAGTACAACTTATTAAGCTTCATATTTGAATTCGTGTAACTAACCGTAGATAAATATAATCAAATAGAAGATAAAATTCTCATTTTAAATATATTTAAAACATAATCAGAATAATTATTGAGATGTAACAGAATACTTAGTTATTATCTTTATAAAAATTATATTATCAAACAAAAACAAAATACTTTGTCGTTAAATCTAAATTAAGTTATAATTAAAAAATTGAATTTTAGAAATTCCAAAAAAAATGAAAATTCATATATATATTTTTTAATTTGTATGATATATTTAAATTTACTTGTTCAAAACCACATAAATTCATATTATAATATCGACAAAGACCAAAAAAATAAAATAAAATATTAAAATCAAGATGTATTCAATGCATTACGTGAATGCCTTTTTAATACTTGTTAAAACATAAAGTTGATATTCATAAATTTACGTAATTATAAATTACAAGAACGAAAATGACAATTTAATCCTTAAAATTCTGTCCAAAATTTGAAGATTTATAATTTCTTTTATATATAAATAGAGTAGCGGTTGGAATTTGTATGGAATGGAGGGAGCAACACAGTTTGATGCCTTCTCCTTCCCCTCACTTTCCCCAAAAGAGAAAGTAATCACCAATCAGTCCCTTCGTCTTCATCCATTGCAAAACCTCCATACCCACCGCCATCTCCATTTTTCGCTCAAAACCCTCCGCCATTATTCCATAAAGATTCCTGCTTTTAGCGAATGCATCAACCGCCATTGAAATCCCTAATCTTTGATCACTGGTTAGCTTTATTTCTCTTATCTTTCTACACACACACACATAGATGCATCTCTCTCTCTCTCTCTATATATATATATATACACACACACACATATATATACATCCTTATATGTTCGTATATCACTCTCTGCGTTTTCAATTTTTGGTGTTTCGATGATCAAGATAAGGAAAATGGAAGATTGCCCTTGTTTGTTTTTGTGATGATATCGATCATCGATACTGTATATAACTTAGCATTCTGATTTCAATAGTGTTTCGTGATCATTGCGATTATCGATTTATTAGTATACTTGAATGATTTCTGTTTGGGGGTTTAGTTTTTCAGAAATCTCGAATTCGTTTCCATTACTCGTAATAGTTTAGGATGAACGAATCGAAGAACTGATCATGCTTTTTTAGGGTAACAATTTCAATTTCATTGAAGTTTACTGGTTGAATATTTTTAGGGTTAAGTAATCGAGTGAAGATCCTATTTTGGGGGTTCTTGAAAATGGTGTTGAATCTTCTAAAATTAACTTGGTAATGTTTATGTTTGAAGATTGGATCATGATTTTGTGTTGTTATAGTAGTATAATTTATGGGGAAATCTTTCAATTTTTCTAAATTTAGATTGATATGGATCAGATTGGTTAAATTTTGGAATTAAACATGAAGATTTTGAATATAAGTGGGGGCTGTTTTTTTAAAGTTGTCTGTGTGGATTATTCCTCTAGAAGCTTACTGAATAAGTCACTTTCTATGTTATTAAGCCATTACCAAAGAATCAGTGTATGGTTGGCTGAATAAACTGCGAGTCTCGTTAAGCTGATGAAACTACTAACAGACAGGCCCCTTAGTGATGTTTTTATGTTCATAAAGATTTTGGTTGCTATAATTCTCTTTGCTGTCTGTATTGTAAAGCTGTTATGATCCGTGATTATTCCGTTAAGTTAATTGGTGCTACAAATTGCTAAACGCTTTGAATGTTTTCGGTTTTGTTGATTTAATCACGAATCTTGATATTTTATCGGTTATTTGTCTTTTTAAAGGAAAATTAGAGGGTAGATTATGAGCAACATAGAGATTCAACGTACGTGTGATTGGATTGACGTTATTAGCCAACTGCCGGATTGTATTCTTCATCATATTCTATCGTTTATTCCCACGAAAGATGTCGTCAAGACCTCGATACTGTCAAAAAGATGGAACAATCTTTGGACTTCTGTTCCAAATCTAGATTTCGATGATGCATTGTTGTATGCTAGTGAGATGGACGGTCGGGATCCACCTGAGGTGGCGTGTTTCATGAACTTCGTAGAACGAGTTCTTTTATTGCGTGATGCATCAAACATGGAGAAGTTTCGTTTATCGTGTCGTGTTTGCTTTAACGCGTCGCGGATTCATTCGTGGATTTCTGCTGCTATCATGCACAACGTCCACGAGCTCGATCTTTGCCTCTTTGCCGAAGATCCATCCGTGCTCCCTCGCTCCATGTTTTCTAGCGTATCGTTAACCATCTTGAAGATAGAAATGAATTGTATTCTCGAACTCCCGAATTCCGTCTGCTTGCCGTATCTAAAAATCTTGCACCTTTCTCTAGTTACGTTCATGGATGACGAATCTACACAAAAGCTCTTTTCTGGGTGTCGAATTCTTGAAGAATTGGTTATGCTAGATTGCGAGTGGATGAACTTAAAGAACATCACAATATCTAGTTTGACCCTAAAGCGTTTAACGATAGATGATCTACCGTATTTTGGTCCGCCCGATGCTCCTAGAGGCTGTACGATCGAGATCAATACACCAAATCTTGCATACTTGAAGTATACCGGCTATCTTTCAAACGAGATTTTCTTGTATGATGTATCGTCACTGGTCAAAGCATACATTAGCGTACCGATTCCAAACGAGCGGCAGAAAGAAGTTGTGTTTCATGTTGTTGGTCTGCTCATCGGGCTGCGGAATGTCGTGACTTTGCGGGTATCTAATTGCACCATCGAGGTACTTGGCCATATCTGTCTTTTCACTAGCCGGGGTCTTATTGGAAACAGCCTTTCGTAGTCTATTCAGGGGAAAGATCAGGTCTGCATACATTTTACCCCCTCCCCGGACCCTGTATTCGGGTGGGATTTATAACCTTTTTATAAAAAAATTACAAAAATAACCAAAAAATGCATGTGGGCCTGCCAAATTGTTGATGGAAAAGTTACACTTTGAACCCTTCAAAAATTTTAAGTTACACTTTGAACCCTTCAAAAATTTTAAATTACACTTTGAAACCATCAAAGATTTTGCCTTTTTTTCTTCTCTGATTTTATCATGCTGACTTTCTTGCTTTTTCTTGTTTGTATGCAAAGTCTCTTGTATTAGCAGGTAACATGCTGGTTCATCTTCCGGTTTTCCTGAACTTGGATCGTTTAGAATTGAGCATGGAAATTGGAAATCCGACCGTTGGATCATTGATGAAATTGCTCAACTGCTGTCCAAATCTACGATCTCTTTGTATCACCGAGGTAGATTGCAAGTTTACAACAAAGAGTCTGTTTGTTAGCAGCTTAATGAGACTCGCTGCTACATGATTGTTTGGTAGTGGCTTAATAATATAAAAAGTGACTTATTTAATAAGCTTTAGGGGCCGAGGTTTATGCAGAAAGCCAAGTATTTTCCGAACCTGTCCTTCCTGATTAAAAGCACCCTCCTTTCATCTATGAAAGAACACTCCCAAACAAAAACCTTCCAAATATATACAGACAAATTGGCTATTTTACAATTTGTTGTTATCTTTTGGGTCCCAATGGGATTAGTCGAGCAGCGCACAAGCTGGCCCGGACACCCACAGTTACCCAAAAAAACTAACTCTATTCAAAGCAAGATGCAAATGATCGAGATACTTATATGGTTTATGGTATGCAGGGATTTGGTCATGATGTATGCCTTGATGAAAACGATCTTATTCTGTCGTGGCTACCTAAATGCATGTCGTCCCGCCTTAAAACGCTGGTTATCGGAAACTTCCATGGACATGATTCGGAAATACGTTTTCTGAAATGCTTTTTGCAGCGTGGACTTGTTTCAGAGAAAGTCGATATTTGTTGTTGTGAGAATTTGTTGGGAGATCCGAGCAGGCGAAAAGCAGTCAAGAAAGAGTTGGAAATGATCGCGAGGGGCTCTTCGTCCTGTGTCGTCACATTCTCATGAAACTTTGTACGTATTTTTGGTCTTGTAAGATCGTTTTATTGGTTATATGTACGCATTTTTGATGTTATGCGACTGTTAGTTCTTTAGAAACTAATTACGTTTCTTGATCTTTGATAGGAGTTCTTGGAGATCCGTTTTTGTTAGTGTCGTTTGTTGGTCAGCTGGCTCTACCTTTTTGACGATGGCAGCGAGTGACTTAAGTTTGCCGTGGTTCCTACGTTTTTGGCTCGTCTTTTCGACAGTATGTCGTAGTGAAGGAAGGTATATATGTGTGGTCATTTTGGGAACATTTTGTGGGTTGTAGAGTTTGTTCACATATGGAGAGCTTAGTAGTACATACAGATTTACATATATATGTATATGTATATATCTATATACAGGGTTGGTTCACGTGAGACCAACTTGTTTTCGTGAGACAATTTTTTTACACTTGAAACTTCACAGCAAAACGTTGTGAAGGTAAAAAAAAAGCCAAATCTTCACAACAAAAACACTATAAAGGTTACCTTCACAGCGTTTTGCTGTGAAGTTTCAAGTGTAAAAAAGTGATCTCACGGGTCTCACGAAAACAGTCTAGTCACGTGATCCAAGTCTATATATATATATGTATAAACACTATATATTGTGGGCTGCTCCTGGATTTTGTTTAGCCATACATAGAAGCCAGCATTTTGTAAGATCTTGTGTTTCTAAATTCTGTTTTGGGTTTCTTTTGCTTTGCGAAGTTCTTCCTAATATCTTTACGAGCTCGGCTCGAGAAAATAATACAAGGGTCGAGATCTAATAAATCTTTTCAAACTACTATTTGAGCCGAGATGCTCGTTTAACGGGTTTTTTAGTTAACATTATGACCTGCAATTCGAACTTCATAAGTTCCTTTTAAGGTTCAAAATCGAGATCGATTAACTCGTTTATCGGTGGTTCAAGCTCGATAGTTTTATATTTCAAGTTTATGTAAGGGGTTGTTTGTTTACCTCTTAATAGTTTCATTAAGAGGCATCATCATTAAGAGGTGAATCTTGTTTGACGAAAAAAAAAGTCTGTCTCTTAATGGTTCCAAAACCTATTGAATGATTTTGTATGTAAGGTCTCTCTTAGCCGTTCAACATCCCAATTTCATTGTAAATAGTTACTAGATAATTATATTTTATTTTGCATTATATCATAAGAGATATTTAATCACTTTATATCAAACCATTCAATAACTGTTAAACAGCCTTTAAATGATTTATTGGTAAACGTGTATTTAATAATATCTATGGGAATATTTAGCCGTTACGTTGATTAATCAAAGTTGGTGTATGGATCCATTTAACCACGTTTTAATTAATTAATTGACCAAATTTTAACATTTTTTAAATGTCGAAAAAGATAATTTCTTTTTGATTAAAATCAGTGAGTAATTTAATTGGTTGGTAATATCATATGAACTATTTATTTTTAGTTGGTACATAGTATAAAATAATGTATTTTAACTTTATTTTGTGGGTAACGTACTTTCAGAACTTTTATTTTGGTATCGAAGATGTAAAATTTTAAACATTTAAATACTCGGATAATCGGTTGAAGCATTAACCGGTTACCATATTGATGTGACGAGTGATGTGGTACCCTTCTAGTGTATATATATAATATATATATATATATATATATATTACCGGTAAAAATTTAATAATATTATTTACTTACCGTGTAAGATTTTGGTCTACTAAAATGACATCGTATGCAACAATTTACCCAGTAAGCGCTTAACGTGGTAAGAGTCGTCGCCCTCACTTACCGAGTAAGACTCATTGTTCTTGTCTCGCTTTTACCAGGTAAGATTCTTGGTACTTACCATATTTATCCAATAGGATAATGTGACTTGTTAAACGCTTACCTGTGTAAATGTTTGGTAAACAACCCCTAAGTTTAGTAGGTGGGATGGTAAATGGGAGGTGGTGAATTCACCAATGGAGGCTGGAGGTCAGTATAAGTGACGGTGTTTGGCAGGGGTGAGGCTTCACCAACGATGAAGGTGTTAGTGGGTTGGGAGATGACGTTATCCTAATTATATTTTAGATTTTTTTTATTTAAAATGAGATTTTTATCTGTAGTTAGTTACACGAATTCAAATATGAAATTTTAATAAGTTGTACTTATGCACAATTATATATTCTTGAATTTTTTAAATAATATACATCAATAAACAATATTTCATACATAAAAAAGTGATTTTAATTTTTTTTTATCAAATGCTTTATAATATAGTATATATATATATATATTTTAAAGAATCATACATATAATATATAAATACAATTTTCTTTAATTAAAATTAAAATTAAACAAAAAGCTAAATTGATTAAATTAAACAAAAGTTAACAGGGTTATGAGAAGAGACACAAATCCAAAGCAAAAAAAATGATTATTTCGTTTAGGGGGCTTAATATGAATTTTCCTATAACCACAGGGACTAAAGTTGTAATTTACACAAAAACAAAAGTTTAGTTAAAAGACACCGTAATATAACGTACGGTGGAAAAAGCGGCCGTTACAAAGGGAGAAAAAAGGTATACACGTGGCAAACACTGATAGGATGTTCAATATAGAAAAGCGTAGGCTTAAAGAATCAGCAAGCCTTTGAAGACCGCCCTTTTCCTTCCCTTCCACCACCCTCAGTAATAAATTACTCCACTTTAATATTTTATTCGATTAAAAGTCTTCACAGATCTTTATACCATGAAACTGGTTTGGTGGCTCTGATTTCCAGTTTATATATACATATATATATATATATATATATAGATTGCACCTAACCCCCATCAAAGATCAAACCTTTATTGAAACGAATTTATCGATTTTCAGTCAAAACCCACACTTGATCTTACAAGGGTTTACAGAATTTTGTATAATTTAATCGTACAAAATGATCTGTTCTTTGCAGCAGGCTCAGGGATTCGGTTGTCGTTCCAATGTCGTTACTCACCGGAGAAAACCCCTTGTTCAATTCTCGGTTTTACCATCGATTTCTGTACCGAAAGTACCCAGTTTCTCTGCTGTTTCTCTTTCGAAACCTCTGCATATTTCTTCATTCGAGACGTATGGATCATTGGAAATAGAATCTAAGAGGAAACCCTTGGTTTTCTGCAAAGCATATGAGGTTGATCGACCTGAAGAAGGAGGACTTGAGAAGGTTGAATCAGCAAGAAAAGTGAAGATTGGGTTCTATTTTGCAACATGGTGGTTTTTGAATGTGATTTTTAATATTTATAATAAGAAGGTTTTGAATGCTTTTCCATTTCCATGGTTGACATCAACTTTATCTCTTGCTGCTGGATCTCTCATCATGTTAATCTCTTGGGCAACAAAAGTTGCTGAAGCACCTAAAACTGATCTTGACTTCTGGAAATCCTTGTTCCCTGTAAGTAATTTTGACTTTTTAGGGTTTCATTTCAACATTTTTGACATCTGATATCTGGGTTTTGTGTGATTTGTTCTTTATATACATGGGTTTTCTTTTATTTATGTTTATTTCATCTGGGTTTTGTGTAATTATACTTTTTATACCTGGGTTTTCTTTATTTGTGTTTATTTCATCTGGGTTTTGTGTGATTATACCTGGGTTTTCCTGTAACTGTGTTTATTTAATCTGGGTTTTCCTGTAACTGTGTTTATTTAATCTGGGTTTTGTTTAAATATTGATTTCTTATATGGGTTCTTTAAAAGTTCTTCAAAAGTTCTGGGTATGTTTCTTTTTTGGGAGGGTGTTCCAGACTATACCTGGACCGGCAAACTGTGAAAGCAAGAAATCAGCTTTAATAACTCAGTGGCCACAATTGTGTATGATCTAAATCATGAATATAATGTGTCTTTTAGGTTGCATTGGCACATACAATTGGTCATGTGGCAGCAACTGTGAGCATGTCCAAAGTTGCTGTTTCTTTTACTCACATAATCAAGAGTGGGGAGCCTGCTTTCAGTGTGTTGGTTTCAAGGTTCATTTTGGGCGAAACGTTCCCCATGCCGGTTTACTTATCTCTTGTGCCAATTATTGGTGGTTGCGGCCTCGCTGCACTTACGGAACTAAACTTCAACATGACTGGTAATCGCAAGTCTTTTGTGTTATGATCTATTTGTTTGTTGGGAAATTTAAAATGTAGCAGCTTATGATCTTAACAACATAACCTTTGTTTGTTTGTACACTTTGACCACACTACACAAGCTTTATAGGACACCAGATGTGTTGAAGCTGATAGGTAGTTTCATTTTTAGCCATTTTTTAACCCAAATTCACTTTTTAGCCAATCTTTAAGCAGAAGGCTTACGCATGTGCGTAAGGATTGGTTTTTGGCAAAAACTAAAAAAAAAAGTCCCTACGCATATGCATAAGGATTCCACTTTCTGCTTAAGGATTCTTATTCTTATTATTTTTTTGGCCGAAAACCAATCCTTACGCATATGTGCAAGCCTTCTGTGTAATGATTGACTAAAAAGTGAATTTGGGTCAGAAAATGGTTAAAAAGTGAAACCTATTTGCTGATCAGCTATTTCTGTCAATTTCCTGTCGAAATGGCTTAATAGACAGCTTTATGGGACCAAACAATTGGGCGTCTTATTATGTAAAAGTGCTACAATAAGTTGATAAGATGCTTTTGCACATTCTAACAAGTTCTTAGGGGGCTTTCGTCCTATTTTATCTTTCTACATGACATTTTTTGAAAAAAATGTCTTGTAAAAAGATGTGTTCCTTGTACACTTTTTCAAAAGTGTTCTATAAAAAAGCTAATAGGACACTTTATTTCAGTTGTTTATTTGCATACCTTTTGATTTGGTTTTTCCTTTGAATTTGCAGGTTTCATGGGAGCCATGATTTCCAACTTGGCATTTGTGTTTAGGAACATATTTTCAAAGAGAGGCATGAAGGGGAAGTCTGTCAGTGGGATGAATTATTATGCTTGTTTATCTCTTCTTTCTCTCTTAATCCTTACTCCATTTGCAATTGCTGTTGAGGGTCCACAGCTGTGGGCAGTTGGATGGCAGAAAGCCATCACTGAGATTGGACCCCATTTCATTTGGTAATCACATGACATCTACCTACTACTTTTGCCCAATTGCAATTTGTTTGTTCAATCATAATTCATACAGTCCATTTTGTACCACTAGTTTAGCTAAACATTCATAATTGTGGTAGATAGGTTGATTTTGAGCCAAGGGTCTTTATGGAAAAAGCCACTTTACTCTTTTGGGTAGAGGTCAGGTCTATGTATCCCTAAATTCCACCTTCACGTGGGATATACTGGATTTGTTTGGTTCGGTTTATAGGTTGTGTTGCACTTGATATGAGATGGAAAGATTATATTAATTGGTGCTAACATGCATAACTTATCACGAAAACCACCTCTCTTACCCCTCAAAACCGTTACTTTATCTAGTAAGTCATGTATGGATAAAGTTGTCTGTGTGGATTAATCTGTCTGTCTAGATTGGAAGGACTTTTGTTTGGGAGGGGTTTTTTCATAGATGGAAGAAGCGTGTTCTTAATTGGGAGGGATAGGTTTGGAAAAAACTTGGCTTTCTGCATAAAGGTCATCTCTAGAAGCTTACCGTATAAGCCACTTTCTTTATCATTAAGTTAATACCAAACAGTCACTGACCGAGTAAGCTGGGAGTCCCATTAAGTTCATTAAGCTGCAAAGAACAAAGGATCAACCTTCTTTATTGATATCCTTGTTTCTTTCCATGGCCATTTGAGTAGTTTTTATAATCTTGTTGCTTTCATTTTCTTATAATATGCAGTTTATGCTACTTTCTTTCTTTATTGTTGGCTGAATGCTAAAAATGGTGTCTTTTTGTGGTCTCTATTTTGTTTTCGATAGGTGGGTGGCGGCTCAAAGTATCTTCTACCACTTGTACAACCAAGTTTCGTACATGTCACTTGACGAAATCTCTCCTTTGACGTTTAGCATCGGAAACACAATGAAACGAATATCTGTCATAGTCTCCTCCATCATCATTTTCCGTACACCCGTTCAGCCGGTCAATGCTCTTGGAGCCGCAATCGCTGTCCTTGGAACTTTCTTGTATTCTCAGGTAATTTTCTTTGGTTTTTCATCTACAAACTGGTTTGCATTTTGTTTCTTTCAAGATGAAAGATGCATGTAGTAATAGCAGCAGATTTGTCCACTAGTCTAATGGTCTGTGTTGATATGGACCACATATGGTAGCAAATTTGTCTTTTAATGTTGATACTTGTGATTTTCTGCATTTCCAATATGTGGGTGTTCATGTGTTGAAATCTAGTGGATTTAGGTGGATCCGTTTCGATCCAATCATCCGTTAGATGTAGGATGACTGTATCGGATCGGTTCCGTTCATTTCAACCAGTTATTCATATGTTTTTCTAATTTCCTTAAAAACACATACAAATATCGACTAAAAGCTAACGTTATAAAGTATTATTAGTTATATATATATATATATATATATATATATACACACGGAGGTTCATTTAGGGACCTTAAATATTTTGAGAACTCGGGAACCACCACCTATTCTTTTGTAGTATTCATGATGAATAACCTTGAATTCATCATGAATATTTGTTATGACATTCATCATAAAATGCTACACAAAATAGGTGGTTCTTGGGTTCTGAAAATATTTAAGATTTCTAAATGAACCAACCCATATATATATAGGCACCTGAGACACGATTTTTACACTTGAAACTTCACAATAAAATGTTGTGAAGGTAAAAAAAGCTGAATCTTCACATAACACTATGAAGGTTACCTTCACAGTGTTCTGCTATGAGGTTAACCTTGTCTCACATAATCCCAAGTCTATATGTGTATGTGTATGTGTGTGTGTTTGTGTATGTGTTGTGTGTTTTAGATGGTCATTGGATTTAGATCGGTTTGGTTTCCAAGAATCGACCAATCCTATTTGGATGTTGAATTTTGGATTTGATCATATCCAATTATGGTCGATCAGTTCTAAATGGAGGTGATGACTTTTTGCACACCCTTAAGCTGAAATCCCTGAAGCCTTTTTTCAATGGGTTGTGTTGAAAAGATGGTTTTTGTGGTTTTCAAAAGCGATGAGTTTGAAATTTGGTTTCTTAAAGAGTAGCTATTTTAAGAAGGTATATCTGGATTGTGACAAAGGAAATGTCTGCATACATCTTACTCCTTCATACCCTACTTTCGGGTGGGATATACTGTTTTTTTTTAAGTATATAATACATATATACGGCAAATAGAACAAATAAATTCACACTCCCTTCTCACCTTTGGTGAGGTTTGAACTCTTGATCTCTCCTAGGAGGACAATGACTCACATACTGCTAGGCCAAAGACCTTTTGGTGGATATACTGGTTGTTTGCCAGTGTGTCTCACTATTGTCCTATAGAACATGCCCTCAACTCTTGATGGATTTTATGGTCACAACCGTTTCATTATTATCTCCGATGTTTAAACCATTTCTTATGTTGTTTTTCAGGCAAAGCAGTAAAAGAACGGAGTTCCATGTTTGTACCATAAACGAGAGGCGAAATCTAAGCGTTCGTCTATACGATCTCTCCAAACCGTGGGGTCGAGAGGCAACTTTTTCTTGTGTAGATAATATGATGATAATAATGAAGTTGCAAGTAGTTGCATGCCATGAACACTAGTAAACTTGGTTGCTTTGTTCTTTGAATAATCAAAGAGGCCACAAAGGGCAAGATGAGCATCATCATCTTCATAGACAAAGAGGTTTTATTTTTGGTTTATATTTGAGATGGAAATTCAAAAGCATCTTTTCTCATGCCAATATCTTATTACTGTTTTGTTTACTTCTTAATAGTTCCATTAAGAGGTCGCCTCTGAATTATTAAGAGGTTAATTTTGTTTGACAAAAAAAAAGTCTTAACTCTTAATGGTTCTAAAACTATCATGTGCCTCCCTTAACCATTAAGCGTTCTAATTTCATTGTAAACAATTACCAAACAATTATATTTCATTTTGCATTATATTATGAGAGTCTGTTAATCATTCTGACCACTTTGAGGGTTTTCAACGTAGCTGCATGTTTTTCGCTCTCTAGGCCGAAACCGGCAGCCTCTACACCAATCAATCTGATATCTTTATCGTCGACAAACTCATGAAAGAGCCCCATAGCATTCGACCCTTCACCGACACAAGCAAGCAACACGTCTGGCTTTCCGCCCCATTTTTCCAATGCCTGTTTTCTTGTTTATCTTCCGATTACGGCACGGAACTCCCGTACCACCATCGGGTACGGATGTGGGCCCGCAACCGAACCCAAAATGTAATGGATCGTTTCCACATTGGTCAACCAGCCTCTTATGGCTTCCGATGTAGCATCCTTCAATGTGGCTGTCCCAGAATGAACGCCTTTAACCTATATGATGTTTCATATATGTAACAACACATGTGAGAATGCAATGTTTATACGGTGTTGTTTCATATGTGAACCAAAGCTTGGCCAACGGCATTGTTGATCTTACGTGCACCTGTAGATAGATTTTCTGGTCCTTCACCATCGGGGAGTTTATAGTGTTCCATAAGTTGTTCAGCGAAATAAAGCGGGCTTTTCCCGACCAACATAGTCACTCAGAATGCTATCTAACTCCGACTGCACTTTGCATCAATACTTCAAAGAACTAACAATATGTTGTGAACATGAAACACGAAGTAAGGGGCCGTTTACAAACACTTACCGGATACGTCTTTACCTGCTCAATTTCTTTACGGGATGAGTATAGAAATGACTGAGAATCTTACCTGGTAAGAGACAAAAGGCAAAGATCGAGAGTCTTTAAGTGAGTGTGGTGACTCTTACCCGATAAGCACTTACTTACCTGGTGATAGACATTTACCAACAATCTATTTTGTTGCCATAAATGTTAACCGATAAGGTAAGTGGGAGCGGTGAATGTTGCCGGTAAGCATTTGATAAACGGCACTTTTTATAAACGTTATATTATCTATTTTATAAGACAATTTTAGTAAAAATGCTACAATTCCCTCCAAATTTACCAAACCGGCCAAGAGAATCAGGGCGGAGGACGACCACCGATTGATCATAAACTGCCGCCGCCGCTGCCGCTGCCGCCTTCTCCTCCGCCATTAAATGATCAGTCGATTGTTTGGTCATTAAACACGAAACAGAATAGAATTTGGGTGAACATGACGTAATTTTGTGGAAATTGAGGGATAATTGTGAAGGATAGGGTTTTGAAAAGGGTGAAGATGACGACGGAGGATAGGGTTTGACAATGGCGGTGGTTCCGATGGAGGAAATTGCCATTTTTGAGCTGTTTTTGGGGAATGAAGGCTTAGAAGGTATTTATAGAAAGCAAACCTTTCGTTTGTTGGTCGATCTCATACGATTTCTTTGCAAATATATTTCAAATTCTGTGTTTAGTTCTTTAATAAATGTTTACATAAAATTAAGGATAAATTGCATAAAAAAGTAATATACTTTAACGTGATTCTTATTTTAAATAATATGTTTTTAAAACTTTCATTTTAGTACTTAAGAAGTAAAATTTTAAACATGTAATTATTCGGGTAACGGATTGAAGCATTAACCGGTTATCATGTTGATGCGACGAGTGATGTGGTATCCGGTTAATGCTCCATCAAATAATATTGAGTTGGATACCACATCACTCGCCATGTTAACATAGTAACCGGTTAATACTTCAACTGGTTATCCCGAGTACTTAAATGTTTAAAACTTTACATCTAAAGTATCAAAATGAAAGTTTTGAAACGAAGGTTATTTTTTATTATAAAATAATTAATTTAAAGGACCAAAAGTGTTATTTTTTTCTAGAAAAAACAAAGGGTGTTCTCATTTGAACTTATCGATATCAAACTCATTTCTCTTTTTACAACTTTGATACCGGAATGCTTCTGATTTAACTTAAAAGAGTTCATTAGCAACGCTCGGGTAAAAATTTACTGTTAATGTGTGTAATAAAAGAAATTACTGAGAAGGTTCATTTAGAAATATTCTTGTATACAAAGGCAAAGCCACCTTGGAGTCAGAAGTGATATTGACTCTCATGGGCTGTTTGACAATTGCCGATTGTTTTGGTGCAAAATAATTAAGTGGTAAGAATGATTAAGAGGCTCTCATGATATAGTGAAAAATGAAATATAATTGTTTGGTATTTGTTTAGAATGAAATTAAGGCACTGAATGGTTAACGGAAGCCCGTGATACAAATGCTAAGTTTTCTGACAGAGCCTGACCTCTTAGCAGTTCAAAGGTTACTGACAGAGCCTGACCTACATATACATCAAAAAATTAAGACGTTAAAACTTTACATAATTCTTTACACAATTGCATGAAAAGGTAACTTACTTTAGTTTTCTTCCTATTTTAAGTAACATACTTTCAACACTTTCATTTTGCTATCTAATGTCGATTTTTTGTTTGTTCTTACCTAATGTCAAAAAAAAAAAATCCCACGTCATTTTAGTTTACCTGTTACCTGAAGTATAGGTAAATCATGTACTTAAAAGTTTGAGATTTTACATCTCAGGTAACAAAATGAAAGTTTTTCAAATACGTTATCCAAAATAGGAATAAAACTAAAGTATGTTACTTTTTAATGCAATTTGTCCATTACGTTCTGTCATGTCCCAGTCTAATGTCGCATCGATATAAGACAACAAGTTTCTTATTATTATGTTCGGTCCTTTCCTGTACACCACACACATCATAAGGAACATGTCTAAATGAACTGTATAATATACTAAATCTAATATGCATGGTAAGAGAATCGGGGATGGTGACAAAGACAACTAGACTCGACCATGTGCAGCAAGCCCAAGCCGTCAAGGGCATCAACTAAGCGACTAATCTAATTAAAGAAATGCAGTGTGAATACCGTCATCAAACAAGTGAACAACCAAACTGATTCATATTGTTCCGCATCCTTTCTTGTTTGACTGTCTTGATTTCTTCAGCGTGGCGGGCAATGAGCCGTCTTACTTGACTAGGTCCCAAATCCTTTAGAAAATAGTACGTTTCATTTGCATAAAAAAATCGACATAGGAACCTTTTTTTAGCATTCCTGTACAACGCACCAGAAACCCTAGAACCGGCCTGGCAGGGGTGTGCAATACCTAAATGGTTCGAAATCTGAACGCAAACCTGAATCGAAAATAAGGTGTTTATGAAAAGCCGAATGCCCCGAAATTGGGAAATCCAAAACCCAACTTTTGAAGGATATTTGGGTTCGGGTTAGGTTCGGTTTTTGGCATCCTGACCCACCCGAAAACCCGAAATATATATACATAAATATTTTAAATATTATATACATATATTTATTTATTTAATTATCTTTTAAAAATCCCGAATCCTAGTCGATCATGCTCTTTTTCTAATTTAATAAACCTACTGTCGATTTCATAAAAATCTCTCAATCAGTTGAATTCATCTTCAAAATCGATTGAATATGTGTGTGTGTATATATATATATATAATTAAACCCGAACCCCATCGAACTCAACTCGAAACCCAACCAACCCAAACCCAAAACAACCCGAAACCCAAAATTCAAAGCGGAGACAACAAAACCCACCCCATCACGGCATCGTTCGGATCCCTGATTACGTGCCATGCCCTAACGACCAAGATCCGTGACCTGAGGAAGTGGCAACAACAAAAATACGATAAAGAATTGATTGTAGGAATCGGATTTCGCTATAAAGGAAATTTAAAATTAACGTTAAAACAGGTGCCCCTATCAAACGCCATCGGCCATACATCTTAAACAATCGTGGGTACCCTTCTAGCCGTGTAATTTCCAACGTATGAACAGGAATCGCTGTCGGATCTTGTTTTTGGCTTCTTCCACCTCTTGAATCATCCATCAACACAGATTCCTGAAGTGGGTTTTACAGAAATCATCTTTAAAAAACAGCTTCTTTGGAACTTGTGGTAAGCTTTTCTCCCTGTTCATCGATTAGGGTTTCTTTCATATCTTGTTCTTTGTTCTTTATAATCTTTCAGAACCTGCAACTCACTCATTAATGGAGTTTTTCACTTGTTACAGTATGTACTTATGTGTATTAATCATACTCAAACCCCCAATTTTGGTATTGCAATTGAGATTGATTTGAAGAATGGTGATTAGGGTTTTGAATGTTCTTGTGGGTATTTTACTTTTTGCAATTGAAAATTAGTTTGTTATTGACTTCAATTCACTTCACCCTGTAGTTAATGCCTTTGATTGAGGTTTAAATGTGATGAATTCATCCATTTCCCTTCTACTGACTTGCTTTTATTGAATTAGGTGGATTCTTCATCAATTTTATCAGAAAATAATTATGGGGTTTAATGATCTTGAACACATCAACACTCAATTTTGAAAAGTCAAACACTTTCTGAATCTTGATTCTTTGATACCCTTATGTGTTATTTTACTGAATCTTTGTTTTGTTTGATCGATTTGTTGAACGAATTTTTTTGTGGGACTTCTTTCTTTTGAATACATGTAGCATTGGTGACCATTTGGTTTAAGAATTGTGTTGCAAATTTCGATATCGATCAAGGTTCGTGCGAAAAAGATGGTTCAGAAACTTGAAGACATAAAAAATGGTGGAGGATCGATCAAGATTGGCGCCACGGGCAAAATCAGTGCGTTAATGTCGAGAGAATTGCAATCTGTGGTCAAAGATGAAACACCCAAATCACGAAAACCCACCATTCTAGAACCGAACGATGCTATTCTTGGTTCAAAACTCAAAGAAAAAGCACAAAAAGATGAAGCAAGCACCAGCAACAAGAACAAGGACATCAATGGCAATTTGCCGAAAACCAAACAGAATCATGCAAGAAAAGCTAGTAGAAATCCTATCCTTAATGCCGATAACAATATATCTATAGATGGATCACCGAATGCCAACAAGAAAAGATCTTACATAGTTGAAGTTGTCGACATAAAATGTGGAATACCCGACAAGATTTGGGCGAACCCCATTAAAGATCGACTCAAGAAGCTCACTTTCTCAAAGCTATCAGAAACCAATGGCGTAAACTAAACCTGCAACCTACGAACATCCGCTTTAAGGGTCTTATAACTGAACCCCGGTACCATCTTCGGCCCATGTTTCTCCACGACATCAATAGCAGCACACATTCTTGGTATGAACTTGTGACTTCTTTTCTTGCTTTTGGGGGTTACTACAGATTCTGATTGAGTACCACTTGAAGTTGTTGCAGCCATTTCTGGAACTTGTAAACTATGCTTCTGAGATTGTACTTCTAGCTTGTTGAAGTACTCGATTTCTTTCATCATGAGCGATCCAACGGTCCCCTTTGTCCCAATCTTGACTGGAGTTTCTGAAGCCATTTTTGCAGGTTTCAATGGAACAGTGGTGGCCATTTTTGAGGCCATTTTTGAAGGTTTCATAGTCATATATCTTGGCTGATGATGATGGATAATGGTGGTGAAATTTGAAATCTTGGTCTATTTGAATGAAAAGGGAGGATCTTGTTTGTTTGTTTGTTTGTTTTCAAAAGGGTTTTTGGTGATCACTGTTTTGTTCATGGGTATGCAGTGGAGACATTTAAGTTCTGTTTGGGGGCCTCTTGATGTCCACCTTCTAACCACTCACCACCATATTTCTTTGTGGTAAGATCATGTGATAGGGGTAAAAATGTCATTTTGAATGTGTTGGGAGGCTTTAAAGATGAACTCACCCCCTCCCTAAAGTTGATAAGTTGGGGTCTGTCTTTTTTTGGGTCATTTTGCAATACATATATATCTAGATATAGGTGGATCATGTGACAGGGGTAAATATGTCATTTTGTCAAGAACCTTAAAGATAAGATGTGAATCCAAACCTTTAAATTATTGAAAGAAGAAAAAAACAATTGAGTTGAGTTTGTAATTTGACTGATTTGGTAAGGGGAAATGAACCATTTTGGATAACATTCTTTATTTTTTTAGCCTTCTTTCATTTATAGGTGTCTCAGGTTGTTTGGTTGTTGCTAAATGGTTTGATACAGAATGATTAAATGGTCAGAATGATTAATAGTTTTTCATGATATAGTGCAAAATAAAATATAATTGTTTACAATGAGGTTAGGGCATTGAATGGTTAAGGGAGACCTAAAATACAAAATCATTTGACGGTTTTGGAACTATTAAGAGACAGATTTTTTTTTGTCAAACAAGATTAACCTATTAACAATTCAAATGTTGTCTCTTAATGGAACTATTAAGAGTTAAACAAGCCCATATTTGCAACTTGTAAAATGTAATTTTTTGAATTAAATATGATTTTGACGAGGTCAGTTTGTAAAATTGGTGTGATGGCTTGTGAAATGATCTTTTGCCTTGCGAAACCTTCTTAGTGGCTTATAAAATTGCCAACAAAAACCACAAGATTGGTGTTCGATTGGTTTGATTTTGGGCTCCAAAAGTCAAAAATGCTTATAGGTTTCAGGTTCGAATCTAAAGGAGAAATAAAAATCTCCTTGTTGTCATGGAGGTTCAAATGAGGTGATTCCAGGCTACTCGCGAAGTGGGTGGTCACCCTGGACGCATAACAAGTTGAATATCCAGGTTAATAAAAAAAATTGCCAACAAAATCTTATTTTATTCTTAGAAATTACATTTCACAAAGCAAACACTTGCTAAAATCTTGGATATTTTAGTTCGAACAGTAGAAAATTGGTTAAAAAGTAACCACGTGACTTGTGAGGGCAAAATCTTTAGTTTAGTCAGTTCCCTGTAATAAATATTGGTCAAATGACCATGTTACCCCTTAGATTTTTACTTTAGCATGATACAAGACAATGACTTGTCTAAACAGACGATGTGTAAAATCTCAAATACGATCTGAGTTATTATTTTGTCCCTACAAATAAATGTCAAAAACTATAATTATTGGGTAAATTGACAGAATTAACCAACCCATTTTATATTTTATATCTTAACAATTATTAATTATTTAATTTATATCTTTTAGGGGTCGTTTACTAAACACTTACGTGGTAAAATGCTTAATGCATACATTTCCTCATCGGATGAACATGAGAAGGGTCAAGAATCTTATCGGTAAGAGCGATGAGAATGATGGAGAGTTTTACTCGGTAAGTGAGGATGACGACTCTTACCCAGGTAAGTGCTTACCTAGTAAATTGTTGCATTCGATATGCTTTGATGAACAAAAATCTTACGCATCTAAATAAATTATAGTGTTGACTTCTATTGGTAAACGCTTACCGGATAAACATTTGGGTAAACGACCCCTTAGTTTTTTCATTTTACATATTTATCATATTAACATACATAACTCATGTATTAATTAAAAATACATCAAAAGCTTACAAATTATATCATTTCTCATAAATACCTTTAAAATGAGCTCAATATTGAATATTTTTAAATTTAATCATATTATTAAATATCATAAATTTTTATAAATTTTCTTTAATATTTACACTTGAATTATGACGCACTGCTTACGTCTCAAAGGTTGTAGTGATCTCATCTACCCTGCGTTTCGATTCAGGCGTTGCCAAAGTCTTTGTGACCTACAATGATTATAAATTTAATATATAATCTTTTCTTTATTTAGTTTGAATTCAAATAATATTTTTTCAAATTTTAACTTTTTAAAATTTATTTAGATTTAAATTTTATCAACATTTTGCCTTGAAATTTTTACCTTTTCATCGTTTATGTTCGTTTAGTATGTTAACGAACAAACATAAACGAATACGAACACACCTGATTTCTAAACGAACGAACACAAACACAAAGATTTTCGTTCGTTTGTTCAGTTTACGACCCTATTCAAGATATTTATGATCACAAGGGGATCAGTCGATGCACGTAACCTAGCTTGAAAATCTACGGTTACAAAAAAAAATGTTAATTTTCTTTTAAATATTTAATAAATTTTAATGTCCAATTTTGTAATTTTAGCGGCCAGCTTTGGAAAGAATAAAAGAGAAAAAAAGGTGTGGTTTGTGGAAGCTCCTCTGTATCAGAGCCAGGTTTCGATCCTGGGACCTGTGGGTTATGGGCCCACCACGCTTCCGCTGCGCCACTCTGATTTGTTGATTTATGTTCATCATAAAAGCTATATAATGCAACGCGTACTGCTACAAGTTGGGTAAAAATGGCATCAATAATACAGAAGACTGTTCTTTTTTGGTATTTTACATATATAAGCAAAATTTGTCAAACATTAAAAAACAACTTATTAGCTTATTGCTTTTTGGTACCGCTATAAGCTAATCCAAACACTTTTTACGAAACTCCAGTTTGATACCATGTAAGTTAATAAACATTTTTACAAAAAAAATATATGTTGTTTTAAATAATCAATACAAAACCCACGTAAACATGAAAGTTAGACATGGTTTAGGGGTGTTTGAGATTTGCTTATTTAAAACAATTTATGTTTTTTTGTAAAAGTGTTTACTAACTTATGTGATATTAAATCAGAGTTAAATAAAACATGGTTAAAATTGTAAACTGGTAATAAGCAGTTTTTCATAAATTAGGAATGATTAATTTATCAAAAACAGATTATTATCGATTTGATACCAATATAAATAATTTTTTTTCTTATCCAAACATTAAAAAATAGCTTAACATCGATGTTAAACTAAAATAAGTTAAAAACAATTTTTATAAACAATACCAAAAAAGGTGTTTGATGTCTTTTTTTTCCTTGAACAGCCCCTAAAACATGGGTTTTGCCACCTCATTATGAGCACATGGCTCTGGGATTCGTTCCTTCCAGCCTTCACTTTCACTTTCCCATTTTCAAATATCTCATGCTTCCATCCGAAAACACTCCGATTTCGTTTTCATGGTTCCATCACCCTCCGTCTGAAATCTTGAATCTTACCACAACCGCCGATCATGTGGAGCAAATCTTCACAACGGATTAAACCTCCATTGACACCACTCTCAACAAAACCACCTTCTCTTTCTTCCCATTTCGCCATGATTGAACTCAAACAAAGAACCTTAACTTCCCTCTTCAAACTCTCCGACAAAGACACCCACCACATCGCCGCCGTAGACCTCCATAACATCATCGAAACCGCCTCCCCTGACGCCATCTCCATGCTCCTCAACTCCCTCTACACCGCCGCCGGCGATAATCCCACCATCAACAAACCCTCCGTCAAGAAAGAATCAATCCGTTTACTTGCCGTCATCTGCGCCACCCACACCGTCTCAGCACGCTCGCATCTGGCTAAGATCATAGCCCACATTGTGAAACGGCTTAAAGACTCTGATTCCAGTGTTCGAGAAGCTTGTAGAGAATCAATTGGACGGCTTTCTTTTTTGTATTTGAAAGGGGAAGGAGCTGAGAATGATATCGGCTCGGTGGTGGCGCTGTTCGTGAAGCCGTTATTTGAGGCTATGAATGAAGAAGACAAGGTGGTTCAAGCTGGGTCAGCTATGTGTATGGCTAAAATGGTGGAAATGGCTGCAAACCCTCCTGTATCTGTCTTCCAAAAGCTCTGCAATAGGATCTGCAAGTACCTAAAAAACCCTAATTTCATGGCTAAAGCTGCTCTTTTGCTTGTGGTTTCAAGTCTTTCTAAGGTTCTATACTTACTTCCTCTGCAAATTTACTTTGTATTTGTTAAGATTTGCATAACTCCTAAAAACAACGTCCTATAAACCTATTGTAACACTTTTAGATAGGTCTGTAAGTCCTATAAAGCATTTTATTAAGACGCTTAGACATTTTAGGCGTCCTACGAACCTAATATTGTTGTAGCGAGTGGTTGTGGTCGGTGCCTTGCATAGTAGAAGTGATATCATGACTTAACTAAGCCAACTTTTGATTCGGATTATTAGTTTCGGTGCTAATAAGCATTACAGAACGTAATACCATTTCTGCCCGTGGCTTGGAGCCATTGCTTCAATGTATCCACGACTGTCTTCTCAGTTCTGATTGGTCGACTCGAAAGGCAGCTGCTGATACATTAAGCACACTGGCTTTGCATTCGAGCAACTTGATCACAGGAAAAACAGCGTCTACAATAACCGTTCTTGAGGCTTGCCGCTTTGATAAGGTTAGTTTCTGAAATGCTAACGTCGTTCTTGGCCCAGAAACCATCTTAGATTCCGGGCATTATCACACCTTCTGATTGATTTATTTTAGTGCTGTAACAAAATTGAGTTTCTAGGATGCCAAAAGTGTTCAAGTGTCCTACTCTATTATAGGACCAAATCTTTGTATGTCCTATCTAAAAGTGTTGTAATGAGTTTATAGGATGTTTTTGGGTGTCTTAACAAGTTTTTAGGACACTTTTGAAACAAAGTGTTTTGTAAACACATCTTTCCATATATGAAACAACTCTCCCGGTCTAAAGAGACAGATTAATCCACACAGACAACTTTATCCATAAAGGACTTAATGGAAAACCAACCAAACTGTTTATTAGCAGCTTAATGAGACAACTTATTTGGTCAGCTATATGCGACTGTTTGGTAGTGGCTTAATAATATAGAAAGTAACTTATTCAGTAAGCTTCTAGGGGAGCTTTATACAGAAAATTCAAGTTCTTTTTCAAACATATCCCTCCCAATTAAAAATCACAAATCTTCCATCTATGAAAAAACCATCTTACACAAAAGCCTTCTCAATCTATATAAACAAATTAATCCACACAAACAACTTTATCCTACATGACTTAATGAAAAACCAATCAAACAACCCCTCAGACATTTTTGGTGTCCTATAAACCCGATTTTGTTGTAGTTACCACTTGGTTTCTCCTTTCGTTAAAAACTATACCTTGTTGATCTCTGCAGATAAAACCCGTTAGAGATGGTGTATTGGAGGCGCTACAACAATGGAAACGTATTGCAGGACCTTCTGAAGATCACCGGACATCTGATCATGGTGAAAATAGTAAAAAGAACGGTTTTTCTTCGGACCATGATGATTCTAGATCAGCTAAGTCGGAAAAAGACTTTTCGAACGTGGAGGCTGATGAACCCGACGCTAGCTGCATATCGAGAACGGTTATAACCTTGAAAAAGAAGGCGCCTGCTTTGAGTGACAAAGAGCTGAACCCGGATTTTTTCCAGAAACTTGAAAGACGGGTTTCTGGGGAAGTTGAAGTGGTCATTCCTCGTAGATTTGTCAATTCGCATAATGAAAACGAGCTAGAACTTAATGATACTGATGGAGGGTCGAAGTCAAAAGAGGGTTACGAGCCGGATGATGGGCGGGTCAACTTACGACACGATGGTCAATCTTCTAGACGGGGAGAATTATCTGAAACGAATGATTCGAGTCAAAGGGAGGGATATATGAGCGATAAAGGAAACTGGTTCGCCATTCAAAGGCAGTTGCTAAAACTGGAAAGACAACAAGCAAATCTTATGAACATGTTGCAGGTATATAAAATCATCTGATATGGTATCAGAGCAGGGGTCTAGCATCACCTAGGGTGAGGGGACTAGATAGGACGTGCCTAGATGGGACAGAACTAGGCAGGCGAGAGTGAGGTAGGCGGGTGAAGGAATTGTAGAAGGTTTTAGGGTTTTCATTTCACATGGGTAGTTTAGTAATTTACTAATCTTGTCTTATCTTCTAGATTTTTGTTTCACCTATTTTGGTGGGACAAAAAGATGCATTTTTGTCCGACACAGATTCTGTCCTGTCCCCGTCTATTTAGTGCCAAAAATGGGATAATAAACTTTTGTACCGTCTTATCCCGTCCTGCATATCAAACACAACCCTAGGGATTCAACACACTCTTTTGCCTCTGTTCTTGGTGGTTGGAGTGCTATATCGCTTTAGAGATGGACCATGAAACTTACCGCAAAAAAATTGAAAAAATGAAAAACTGAAGAACACCTTGGTTACCTCGTAACCGTTCATTTAGATGGTATGCACATGTGCATACAAGTAATTTGGAAGTAATTTATCTGGTATGGACATGTGCATAACATGCACACATGCATAAAACCAAAAAAAAGCTTCAATTACTTGTATGCACATGTGCATACCGTCAAGATGAATGGTTACCAGGGTGTTCCTCGGTTTTTCATTTTTTTGGGGTTTTCCCCTTAACCTTCCCCCCTTTCTCTCTCTCTCTCTCTCTCTATATATATATATATATATATATTGTATATGTGTATGCAAACATCTTGGAAAGTAAGAGAATATGAAAATGGCCAAATCACATGCAAAATCACATGTAGCCATTCATAGAAAAATGAATAACCGAGGAACACCTTGATAACTATTCATATGTACGGTGTGCACATGTGCATACAAGTAATTCTAAGTAATTTGTCGGGTATGTACATGTGCATGGCATGCAAACATGCATACAAACAACTTCATTTACTTATATGCACATGCATATATCGTACAAATGAATGATTATCAGGGTATTTCTCAGTTTTTCATTTTTTAGGGGTTCTCCTCTGAACTTCCACACACATATATATATATATATATACACACACACACACATAAGAACCTATCTTGACAAAATGATCTAAATGTTGTCAACACTTCCTTTGATATTGCAGAATTCCTTACGCGGATCTCGTGACGGCATGGTGACTCTAGAGAACCGTATACGGGGTTTGGAGAAAGTCATTGAAGACATGGCACATGATTTGTCGGTATCAAACAATCGAAGTAGTAGTAGTTATATGAGGGGGTTCTACAAGTATCCTAATACAAGCATGAGGGGTTCGGGTTCTTCATGGGACTATCATACGTATGCTAGAAACACACAAACGGACTTAAGATGGACCGTGGATGTCAGATCAACTGGCAGATAAAGACGAGGTCTTCGGGCTCCTGTTCAGGTCCTCATGGGATTAGTCGAGGTGCGCACAAGATGGCCTGACATAGACAACATGCAACATCTATATATACAACTGAAAGCATTGATTAATTCTTGATATTATTCTTTTTCGTCGTTATAGAAAAGTTTATAACAAATTGTCGAACGTTTCTATTAAATTATGTACGAGACTTGGATATTGCAATTCAACGGGAAACGAGTATAGCCTAAACCGACTTGGAAAGACATCTTCTAGCATCACGTTACATGCGAAAGGTCGAGTGTTCGAATAAATATCTCTGAGACAAAATTTTATAACAAATTTACAAAAAATTGTCGTCTAACAGTAACGAAAAACATCGGGACTTCGAATTTACATGTTTCTACAGGCTGTTTCCTACACCAGGCCTTTCATTCGCTCCCGGAACTACCATTGTGATCTTCATCGACCGTTGGTCGTTCTTTGTTCTTTCCTGAAGCTAAGAACTCGAGAGCGTTGACCACGTCACTTATGACCGGTCGTTTTGTGGCGTCTGCTTGAAGACACATTGCCGCTATGGCTAAAGCTTGGTAGAGCTCCTTCTTCGGGTATCTCCCTTCGAGCGATGGATCTGCCATCAAATGGAACCTTTTTCGGTCTTTAAATAACGGTTCTGCCTGCAAACGAGGAATATAATGTAAGAAAAAGTTGGTTGTTTAAATCGTTATTTCTTTTGGGTGCGTTTGGTATTCAGACGGGATTGAATTGGATTGCACTGAGAGTGAGGTAGGAAGGTTTTGAGGTTCTAATTTGACATGAGTAGTTTAGTAATTTATCAATTTTGTCTCATTTTCCTGATTTTGTTTCCCGAATTTTGGTGGGATTTTTGTCCCACTCAATCCCGTCATGTCCAGTCTAACGCCGCACCAAACGCGAGACAAGAAGTTTTTATTTTGTCCTGTACTGTCCCATCATGTCGAACATACCGCTACAACAAAATTGGTTTTATAAGATATCTAAAATGTTTAAGCGTCCTAATAAAATCCTTTGCATGACCTAAGTTTATAGGATCAAATCAAAAAACGTCTTATTTAAAAGTGTTACAATAAGTTTATAAGACGTTTTTAGACGTGTTAATAATTTTTTGAGACACTTTTAAAATAAAGTGTCGTATTAGCTATTTTACACGGCGCTATTTGAAAAAAGTGTCCTATAAAAAGATGGGTTTATAGGACATCTCTCAAAAATGTCTTATAAAATAGCTAATAGGACAATTTGTTTTATAAGTGTCCTAAAAAACTTATTAAAACGCATAAAATTGTCATATAAACCTATTATAATGCTTTTAGATATGACGCTTTATAGTTTGGTCTTGTAAACAAAAGTTCTATAAAGTATTCTATTAAAACGCTTAGATAATCTAGATGTTCTATAAAACCGTTCTGTCGTAGTGAGTTCACACCTACCCAAGCGATTAGAATTTGCTCTGCACTTGGTCTTGAACTATCGATGACTCTCCTTCCCGTGATCATCTCAAGGAACACGACTCCAAAGCTGTAGACATCGGATTTTCTGGTCAACCGACCGGTCATGGCATACTCGGGTGCACAATACCCGTAAGTTCCCATCACCATAGTTGTGAGATGATTCTGGTTGCCGGTTGGAGCCAACTTGGCTAACCCGAAATCAGAAAGCTTCGCATTCCACTCTTCGTCTAGTAGTATGTTTGAAGCTTTGAAATCACGATAGATCACCGGCGGATCAGCCTTATCGTGCAAGTATTCGAGCCCTCTTGCTGCACCCGTTGCAATCTTGATTCTTATGTCCCATTCTAGCGGTTGTCGCTCTCCGACCCTCCAATCTTAACCAAGAAACGAGAAAAGTTATGGGTCTCGGCTTCATGGGATCCATGAAACGAAAGCAAAATTGTTGGAGTCCCACATCGGCTAAACACATACCATCAAATATGTAAGTATATATAGGAACCTCCCCTTTCTCTATAAAGACTCTTTTAGAAAGAGAGATTCAAAAGGGTTCCACATATCCTCACATGGTATTAGAGCCAGAGTCTACCACATGTAAGGGCCCCCGTCTAGTCTATGTAATAAGAAACACCCTCGTAACTGTTCATCTGGATGGTATATATATATATACAAGTAATTTGTCCGGTATGCACACGTGCATAAAACCCAAGAAACAACTTCAATTTGTTGTATGCACATATGCATACCGTCCACATAAATGGTTACTAGAGTGTTTCTTAGTTTTTCATTTTTTTGGGTTTTCCCCTAAACCTCTCTATATATATAAACCTCTGCTTTTTCTTTAAGGGATCTTTTAGAAAGGGAGATGTTCTTCAACACAGTCTTTTGCCTCCATTCTAGGGGGGCACTATTTAGCCTATGTTTGAGGGGATGTGTTGGAGTCCCACATCGGCTAGACATGAACTATCTGATTTGTAGAACCTCCCCTTTTTTGTATGAGAATTATTTTATAGAGAGATTCAAAAGGGTTTCGAGCAAGAGTTACGAATCACGAAAACGTACTGAAGAGGTGATCTTCGAGAGAGCCGTTGGGCATATACTTGTAAACTAAAATCCGTTGGTCGCCTTCGGAACAATACCCGTGCAGGTCAATAAGATTCGAGTGATGAAGAAGACTCAACAGAAAAACCTCGACCAAGAACTCTCGGTTGCCTTGGTATCCATGTCTATCGAGTTTCTTAACAGCAACGTCCTACAAAACCCCGAGAAAGAAGACAAAAACATGAGTCGACACAGATTTTGATCGTTTCTCATATGATCGTGTGACGATGGTTTTGGAAGTTACAGTGTTTTTGCTAGCAATGTGGCCTTTATAGACCCGCCCGAAACCACCTTCCCCGATCATCAAGTTGTAGTTGAAGTTGTTGGTGGCCGCGGACAACTCCTGGTACGTGAAAAATTGCGAAGAAATGTCCCCGTTTCCGTACTGTGCTAGCTTATTCGTTATGTACCTTCTTCTAAAGCTATCTGCGTTCGAATTCAAACAAGTTATGAGAATATGTGAAACTCTGTTAGATTACTCTGCAAATAGCCTTTAAGAAAAGAAAAAAGATTCAAACATATAAACAAAATTGGCTTTATAGGATGCCTAGATTGTCGTAGCGTCCTATAAGATACTTTATGGAATTAACATCCTATCTAAAGGCGGTACATTAGGTTTATAAGACGCTTTTAGGCGTTTTAACAAATTTTTTAGGACGTTTTTAGAATAAAGTGTCGTATTAACTACTTTTTAGGACATTGTTGAGAAGTGTCATATAAACTCATCGTTTTATACGAATACAGCTGATGATGAGGAGCAAAGAGGTTACCATTTCCGAGAGAAAATCCGGCAAACGAGTCTTCCTTTGTAACTTTGAAATCGTGAATGCTTTTCTTCCTGTCGACACGTTTTTGGTTCATACAACACCAGAAACAACCCATCATTTTGTTCTCGAATCAGGACGGCAGCCACTGCCTCCTGATCGGGTCATTCCCATGGTTCGCGTTTTCCTCGATCCATCTCGGAACGCACGATGGTGTTGCTTCGTTTCTTGTTCGTGATAAAAGTTTCTGATGGGAAATTATCTGATCACGAGACGTAGCAACACCAACGTGTGTTCAGAGATTTTGCTGACCAACGGAATTTCTTTTAGCTCCGGGAAAGAACCAATCTTATTCGGAGCTAATAGAAATTCCGAGCTTTTTTGTTTCTGGATTTCTTCCAGTTGATGGGAAATTGTTAGGACAAATATTTGACATGGTCAAATATATTGCCTCCTTAATTTTAGAAACAACTAAAAATATATATCGTTTCTTTGCCATCCAAATTTGGGGATTTTTAATTACATAATTTAATTATTTATATAAAATAATCCGATAATTATCACTCTTATTTGATTTTATTCAAGAAACAAAAAACAATAACAGTAAAAACGACGTCATAACACATAAAAGATAAGTCTGTTTCAATTGACGCAACAACACAGTCCACCGGAACCACAAGCTTCATCTGGTTGACAAATTCCTAGACCCTCAGTACGGTTCATAAACACAGCTCTGCTCGTCTGTTTCCCACATAACGCATCACAGTCTTTTACATCTTTACAACAACTCTTTGTACAGTCAAGTTGAAATAATCTCTGTTCGCCTACAAACAACAGTAATTGTTGTTATGATCAAAGAATATTTCCGTAATATACCGAAAAACACTGTATATAACAACATAATTCAACAAAGGGTTTCATTCTCTTTAAAAAAACATAGTGTACCGCTAGCAGCGATTATCAGTACAAGAAAAAAAGCAAACGTCATCTTCAGTTCTCAAATTTTTTGTAGCTGAATACTGTATTATTTTGAAATACTTTATATAGGACTTTTTTCTTAATTAAAAAATAATTATTAATTAATAATCAATTATAAATTATTAATGTATTAATTTTGGTTTATGCTACACATTAAATATGGTATCATATATTTTTCATATTTGGGAAATCTTTTCTATTAATAGAGTTATAATTATTATATATTTATAATTAAACTGGTTTAGTAAAACATACTGTCTTGTTTGTTTTTCATGAAAAAGCTGTTATCAACTCCTTATGTCTGATTCATTAAGAGACAAGGTGATTCAGACTGTCTGTTTTTTCCAATTTTTTAAAGGCACTTATGTTTTATTTTTCTCTTCTCTGATAAGAGGTAAACCAACATCTTATTGTTCTTCAAATCCTCAACAATGACGTTTCTCAATCGATTAACCTTAATCGACCATTTCTCTCATTCGATCCTTACCAAATCAGTCCCTACCTCTCTCGATTAATGTATTTGAATAGGAAGTAAATGTGTTAAACACCGTTAGTGACATATTTTCGTTTAAATGAATGTTAATTATATAATTTAGATGTAAATTTAATAATGATGATGAATAAATATGTGAAATTGTATAAATTTATCTATAAATTCAACACTATGATTTTTAATGGGTAAAATAGACAATTTAAATAAATTTAGACGTTTATCAATTCACAAAACAAACAGTCTTATTTATTCAAATTTTAGAATTCAGCACCATCTCTTATAAATCAGAAGTGAAATAAATTTCAGAATTCAACACCTCTTAAAAAACAAAAATCACCTTATATTCTAAAAAAGTTTTAACTAGGTTGAGATTCTATTCGATTGTCAATTTCTTTTTAAATATATAATTATTTTAATATTAAAAGGAAGTAGAAACATTAAAATCAAGTTTATTATATATTTTGTAACACAGTTTAGACGTTTTCAGATATCATATAGATTTCAACATTGTGTATTATGTGTCAAACATTGATAACCAGGTACTTAGTTATACCTCACGGCTCATGATACTTCTACTGGTTCATATATATGTGTGTTATCAGCTTTTTTTTGGTTGATATTGGTTTTATACCAACTTGAAGTTACATATATAAAAAATTTGTCATCATGTTCAAATTTTAGTGATATTTTGAGTTTCCAGAAAACCCATGTGACTGAATTATTGGTAACCCATTATGTATCACGAAAGATTTTCAGTAATCAAAATAATACAAAAAAATTACTGGTAAAGATATATGACTGAATAAACATATTTTACTAGATGAAAATGGTACCCGTTAAGAGACGTTAATTACCCATACAAACAAATTTCTATTGAACTACGAAATGAATTGAGAAATTACCCTTTACAAAAGAAAATCATAATAGCAGTATGTAAGTCTTTGGTCTCCTAGGAAGTCAAGGGTTCACACCCCATCAAAGGTGAAGAGGGTGTGTGAGTTTATTTGTTTATTTGTCATATATAAATATTATGTACTTAAAAAAAATGCAGAATGGGGAAGGAATTGAGGTTGAGGCGGTCGGATTCCATTTGTTTAATCTAAAATCTTTATCTCTTCAAGAAAGCTGTTGGAGAATCTAACACTACCACATTGGAATGGAGTTCCTTAGAAAACTTATCCATCACCATACCAGACAAAACATGACAGAACAAATCTACAACATTTGACAAGACAGAACTAGACTGGTTCAGCAAATGCAATTTCATCACAGGTCCAACAAATGAAAATTCTTCACAGGTTCAACAAATGTGATTTCAAATGCAAAAATTGGAGGTTATTTCAAATAGGTAAGAAGAATCACAGACGAAAAAGAAGAATCACAAAGGAGGAACGATGAAGTCGAAAGGAGAGAATCGATTACATGTGAAGTCGATCGATGGGTATAGAGGTGTGAATTTTTATCAAGGGTATAATGGTAAAAATGATCACACCAAATATGAGACAAATGATCATGCCGTGTCCCATAGGCATGGCAACGGGGTGGGGATGGGGCGGGTTTTGTAATCCCCGGCCCCAGCCCCGGTTTGTAGTAACGTCCCCCGGCCACGGCCCAGGCCCTAGTCCCCTGCGGGTACGAGGATTATTATCCCGTTCCCGGTCAAATCTCTAGCAATCCCCGGTCAAAACTCGGTAAAACCCCGATTAAACTCCGTAAATAATATTCTTTATTTTGATTCTATCGGGGATTCCCGGCCCCGGCCTCGGCCCCGTCCCCGGTTTGTGTCTACCAGGGATCCCCGGCCCCGGGACCCGTTTTAGCGGGAAATCCCAGTCCCCATTCGGATCGGATAAACCGAGTTCCCCACCTGGTCGGGACAAATCAACATCCCTAGTGTCCCATGCTTGTCCTAGTTAGTTATCTCCTGCCGGGTCACACCAAATATTAAAAATAGAGTAAATTTTTAATTTAGTCCTTAAAGTTTAGTGAAAAGTTTAAAGTAGGACCTAAACTTTGATAAGTTTAGGAATAATCCTTATAGTTTGTATCTTGCTATGAAAGTGGTCGTTGGTCATAACTCCGTTAAAAGTTGTCATTTCCAGAAATCTTGGTTGAAACTGGCGGAAGGAGGACTCTATGTGTGACCAAGTTGCTGTAAAAGGAAATTCATAAAACCCTTCTTAATGGGTCTCCGAGACTAGATTTCTTCGTGTTATTGTAAGAAAAATTGCAGAAATTTTGATTGATGATGGCGGAAGGAGACACAGATTGGGAAATACATCTAAGAACATTATCTTCGAGCGCCAGAGAATCCAATTTCTCCAATGATCCTGCTTCAGATCAATCTCTTCTTCATTCTGTAAGTTCGGTTACAGTTTGTGTATGAATCCTTTTTGAAATTTAGCGATTTCTTCAATATCGATGGTAATTCTGTGTAGGTGAGGAAGCTGACTGCGTTGTGCAAAAGTGAAAGCTCCGAGAATCTGACAGCTAGGGTTTATCCTCAACTCAATAAGATCTTTCAACGTTCTGTATCTTCGATTTCTCGCTCTCGATCCTCTTCTGGACTTCTTTTATTGGTAAATCATCTGTTAATTTTTCTTTTCCTTTTCTTGGCATTTTTCAATTTGTTACTTTTTTACAACTTTATTGGATTATTTAGGGTTTATACATTCACATAATTATATGTTGATAGTTAAAACCCCTCTCTCTTTTAACTGCTCTGTTGCCCTGCTAACTGGCATTAATGTTTCTAGACATGATCTTGATTTTTAGTTTTTGGTTTTCGTTTCCTTTTTCTAATGATCTTGTCGACGAGCTGATGCAAGCAGTGTGCTTGGTTTTTTTGAGGAAAAATTGGGATAATACAAAGCTTTTAGGGCCATTTTGATGTGCGGGATTTGGTGGGATTTGGAACGCTTTTGGTTTAAAGGAAAGTCTGGAATTTAGATCCTGGGAAATGCCGCAAACATTGGATTTAGAAATCTCATGGGATGGTTTTTGAGGAAAAATTGGGATAATACACATCTTTTAAGGCCTGTTTGATTTGCGGGATTTGGAACGCTTTTGGTTTAAAGAAAACTCTGGAATTGAGATCCCGGGGTTTCAATGAAATCCCAAAAACAATTGGATTTAAAAATCCCATGGGAGTAATTGGTATTTCGTGGGATTTTATAAGATCTTTTGCAAAGCAGTGTAGTTGGTTTTTTTGAGGAAAAAAATGGGATATTGCACGTCTTTTAGTTTTTGGTCCTCTCTCGGTTATGAGTTGGTCTTGTTGTACTGATGACTTGTTTTACTCAGGCTATTCTTCAATTTTTCCTTGATTATGGAGAATTTCTTCTGCATGATGCTGATCCTAGTCTCAGGACATTCTTCCGTTCATGCTTGAGCCGGTAAGACACACAACCATTTCTAAGTTGGAAGTCATAGAATTTCTAACGAACATTCCATGCAGTTTGGATTAAAAAGCACTTGCTGTTATTGAAATTTATGATCTTGACCAAAAACTATCGAAGCCGCTTTTAAGTAGCATTTTACTAATGACTTGGTTGCATTTTTCTCTAAAATTTGGATCATTAAACTGTTTCTAAAGGGATAACATGATTGTCTTAGATGCATAATGCCTCAAACTGATGTCTTTTAGAAAATCTCTTCGATATTTACATGATTATTGTTTTTTGCAGTGATCAATCTGTTTTTATATTGACTGCAGTGAGTTTGCAGACCCTGTTGTTGCAGAAGCAACTCTAGATTTTCTGAACCTGAACAAGAAGAAAATCTTACTTTCATTTCCTACCCTACTTCCTCAGGTTGGTGTGCGCTGCGTAAACTAAATAATTAATTACTCATATATTAATGTTATAGGGGGTCAGTTTCAGGGGAAAACCGCAAAAAAGTGAAAAATTGAGGAACACCTTAGTAACTATTCATCTGTACAGTATGCACATGTGCATACAAGTAATTTGTCCGGTATGCACATGTGCATAACATGCATACGTGCATAGAAACCAGAAAGCATCTTCAATTACTTGTAAGCACATGTGCATATTGTACAGATGAATGATTATGAGGGTGTTTCTCAATTTTTCATTTTTTGGGGGTTTTCCCCTAAACCTCACTCTAATGTTATATTCCACATTTTGTGTGTGTGTGCTTTCAGTTTTATCCATTGATGCTGAAGCTGATTGCATGGAATGGGGAGAAGTAAGTTCTGTATTTTTATCTGCCAAAATATATTTTCTTCCTGGGTTCAGATAAGATGTTCTATAGGGAGTTGACCATTCATCAAGATCCATGATGACTGTTGACCATCTATACCCCTAAATATAATCAATAAATGAGCATGGATTTGATGGTGATCGATCTTTTTTCCCCATGCAGATTAGAAAAAACTTTCTTAAGAGTATTTCCGGGCTTGATGTCACCTGGGTCATTTCTTCCTCTATTTATATCACTTGTTGACTTACCAGGTCTAATCCCTCATCTTGTTTTCCTCTAAAAAAACACGTATTATGGTTTTAAAGCTTATAAGCATATTTTATCGTAACTAGTGTTGGTTGTCGCTCTCGAAAAGGTGGAACGGAGTTCTGGACCACTAATTGGTAGCAGCATAGCTTCAATCCAGAAGAGCGCAGCTCCAGAGGTATTTTTCTGAACCTTCTGTATATATTAAGCCATATATGAAGCCAAGTTAACTACAAAGATGATCGTTCTTGAATACAGATGCTGTTGGCCCTTATGGACGAAGCATATACTGGTTCAACGATTGGGGATGGGGGTGCAGACTCTGAATCCGAAGACAGCAATTCAATTACTTCTGATCCACTATTTCTTGAACTTCTTAAAGACGAAAATGATGGCCTTGCTGTATGGTATCATTACTTGCTATTTGATTTAGGGTCTGTTTGTTAGCGGTTAATGAGCTTAATGGGACTCGTAGCTTATTCAGTCAACTTGGTAGTGTTTTAATGATATAGTAAGTGACTTATTCATTAAGCTTCTAAGAGGGAGCTTTATGCAGAAAGCCAAGTTTTTTTCTAAACCTGCCTGCTCCAATTAAAGAGCACGCTCAATTCTATCTATGAAAAAACTCTCCCAAACAAAAACCTTCCCAATCTATACAGCGTACAAGACTTATGGGCTGTTTATTAGCAACTTAATGAGCTTAATGAGACTCATAGCTTAGTCGGTTAGCAATACATGACTGTTTGGTAGTGGCTTAATGATATAGAAAGACTTATTCTTTAAGCTTCTAAGGGCTTTATGCAGAAAGCTAAGTTTTTTCCAAACCTCCCCCTCCCAATTAAAAAACACACTTCTTCCATCTATGAAAAAGCTCTCACAAACAAAAACCTTCCCAGTCTGTGCAGACAGATACCACACAGACAACTTTATCTATACAGGATGTGTGGGGCTGTTTGTTAGCAGCTTAATGAGCTTAATGAGACTCATAGCTTGTTCGATCAGCTATACATGACGGTTTGGTAGTGGCTTAATGATATAAAAAGTGGCTTATTCAGTAAGCTTTTAGGGGGGAGCTTTATGCAAAAGCCAAGTTTTTCTCAAACCTACCCCTCTAAATTAAAACACACACTCCTTCCATTTATGAAAAACTCTCTGAAACAAAAACCTTTCAATCTATATAGACAGATTTATCCACACAAACAGTTTTATCCAACAGGACTTGATGGAAAACCATCCAAACATCCCCTTAATGGAAAACCAATCAAGCAGCCCCTTATTGAAACCCGACCATAAAATTTCACATTTTTAAGTTGATCTTTATTTCTGTGTGTACAATTTGGAGAAAAAATTTCAAACATTATTTGATCATATAATTGATATTTCAGCAACGGCATTGGACTTCTCCGGGAATGGAAGTGGCGCTGCAGGCTGCAATTTCTCTTCCATCTGATAGACTAAAACAAGCACTAAAATTGGCACCTCGGCTTCTTGATGTGTATTTTTCAATAGCATTGCATGATGTCAACCACTGTATTCCATCTTTACTTTTGGTATAAAAAACTTGATGTTCATCGAGCATTTATATTTTCAGAATGTCTTGATATACTTGTTTGTTTGCAGCTCTAAAATGCGCTTTAATCCCTATGCTTCTCGATAGAAATTCCAAGCTATTTCCCGACAAACTTTTTACCTATGAGGTAAGTAAATTTACTGGTAAACAATATCGGATACTGGCTCTGTTTCTTGCAAATTGTTTTCTGAGCCAACTTTTCTCTTGGATAACCTTTTTCACATTAATAATTTTTTTTTCTTTTTAATTGATATAGGTAAGAAAGAGGCTTTTAAACTTCATATTAGCTGCATTTCATCAATCCCCCGAGTTCATTGCAATTTTGAAGGTATTCTTCTGCTGAGAATATTTCAATAATTTGTTCGCACCAATGTTTTTCTATATAATACGTTTTAATGAGGGTGTCTATCATTGGTAATTTCGCAGAAGCCCATAGTAGATAGACTTGGAGAAGCTTATGACAGTCCAGAAAAGGTGATTTTTTTAACAATAATTCTCTATATCCTTGAGATATCATATTGGTAAAGAAGAAAAAAGAACGGAAATGTTTAGAAAAATATGCCCTAATAAGCTGCGTTATAGGACTTGAGTTTATCAATTATGTGCCCTATCTTAGAGACGTGTCATATGAACACATCTTTTTATAGAACAGTTGTTTTTATAGAACATCTTTTCAAATAGTGTTCTATAAAATAGCTAAAACGACTTTTTTTAATCAAAATGTCCTAAAAACTTGTTAGGATGCCCAAAAGTGTATTTATCAACTTATTTTAACACCCACCCACACACACACATATATATAGAGGGAGGTTGAGGGTAAAACCCCCTAAAAATGAAAAATTGAGGGACTACCTAGTAACTACTCATCTGAACGGCATGTGCATACACACAATTGAAGCTGTTTCTTGGTTTTTATGCACGTGTGCATGTCATGCACATGTGCATACCGAACAAACCAGGGTGTTCCTCAGTTTTTCATTTTTTGCGTTTTTATATATATATGGGGGGGGACATTCTTTTGATAATCCATGAAATTGTGATAACCTTGAGAACTAGTGCATCATCTGTTATTTTATATGATCTTTTTCCATCTAAGACTAGGATTTAGAATATCAATTAACATATATTTGTTTCACAACATGAACATTTTTAGCCTGTTTTTGAAACAATAGTTACATGTAAAAGAGTTTCACATTCTGAACCGCATACATATAAAGTAAACACATTTTGTAATAAATATATGTTCGTCAATTCATTAAATGCTAGCCTTATATGAGAAAAAAATAACAATACCTTAGGATAAAAGTTCTCACGGTTATCACAATATATGGAATTCTCAAATGATTAAGCCTTTATATATATATATATATATATATATATATATATATGACGCACAATTGTTTGGTCCTATAACATATTTATATAGGGCACTTTGACATATTTGGCGTCCTATAAAGCCGATTATGTTGCGGTGACTGAAATAATTAAGAGGAGCGAAGAAGTAAGAATGAGAGAATCTTTTAACCGTTAAGATTATTGAGTTTGTTCCATATTACTCAACAGGCCGAGTTGGCATTGCAACTATGTTGGGCGATTGGGGAGCATGGAGGGGGTGGCGCGTCTCACAAAGATGAAGCTCGTGAACTTTTTGAGAGTCTAGAACTACTTTTGTATGAAAATCTTTCATCAAGGTATGCTACAACAGTCTTCGTTCATCTAGAAATCTTAAAAAACTAAGCGTTTGTCCCATATACGTTCTTAAATATATTATTTCTCTTGGGAAGCCGTCTTGGTGTCGGAGACTCTGTTCTTGGCTCCAGTAGCTCAACCGTTAGAAGATCGTCGCAGTCGAGGCTTCTCTGTTTTGTTGTGACAGCAATAGCAAAGATTGCAACACACCATCGTGAATTACTCCCCAGGGCACGTGTTTCACTCGGCAAGGTTCGGTTTATCTATATTTCCCTGACTGTTAGCATCTTAACGAGCTTAATGGGACTCGGCTTATTCGGTCAACTATACATGACTGTTTGGTAGTGGCTTAATGATATATTGACTTAGGGCCTGTTTGTTAGCAGCTTAATGAGCTTAATGACTCACAGCTTATATGGTCAGCTATATATGACTGTTTGGTAGTGGCTTAATGGTATAGAAAGTGGCTTATTTAGTAAGCTTCTAGGGGGGAGTTTTATGCAGAAAGCCAAGTTTTTTCCAAACCTGTCCCTCCCAATTAAAAAACACGCCCCTTCCATCTATGAAAAAACCCTATCAAACTAAAAATTTCCCAATCTATAAACACAGAACAATCCACACAGACAGCAGCTTTATCCATAACCAGCCAAACAGCCATTCAGTAAGTTTTTAGGGGGAAGCTTTATGCAGTAAGCCGAGATTTTTTCAAACCAGCCCCTCCCAACTAAAAGGCACGTTCCCTACATCCATAGTTGTCAAAAGCAGGCGCGCTGAGGCGCAAGCTTGTGGGCTTTTTGGATGTTGAAGCGACGCGTATTGATGAGGCGCACTAAGGTGCTGGGCCTTGGCTGAGGAGCCGTATGGGCCTAGACGCGCCTTGTGAAGATTTCTATAAAACCAGTCAAACAAACGCTACTATTAAATAACTTCCTTGTCACATACCCTAGGCCCCTGGACCTCTTTGCGCCTAAGTGCGTCTTGACAAAAACCTTCCCAATCTACGGAAAACCCTCTCAAACAAAAACCTTCCCAATCTATCTAGACAGATTAATCCACACAAATCCACATAGACAGTTTTATCCATATAGGATTTAATGGAAAACCAACCAAACGGCCCCTCAGTCCCAAAATAAACGTCCATAATGAAAAAGGCACATAGTTTTGATTTTTGTATTTATTACACCTTTTAATTGACTAAATGACGGGTTTTTTACTGTTGAAGTAGCTGAAGTGAATTGTGGATTATAGGTGGCTCATTCGCGTATCTCTGATGCAAGAGTCTGGAAACGAGCTCGTGATTATTTAGGGTTAATGAATGAACCTGCAATTTGTCTGTCTGTGCTTGGCCCCTCGGGACCATCAAGTGGGTCTATACAGAAGCCAGGGACGATCAATTGGAGCGAGGGAAGAACGAAGATGATTGCTAACATCCCATTTTACATTCTAGGTGGACAAGAAGGTAATTAATCCCTGATATATGAATTCAAACTATGTATGTATGTATATGTATAAATATATATGGACCTTCTTTTGAGAACTGTCTAAATCGTGAAATATCTGAGAACCGGTGTATCATGTGCTATTTCATATGATTTTTTCCATCTATGGCTAAAATTTAATGTAGCGATTAATATATATTTGTTTCACAATGTGTTTGTTCACGTGTACTCGGTTCACATGTGAACCTTTTTTGGCGTGTTTGTGAAACAAAAAGTACATGTAAAAAAATTTCACATTGTGAAACAAATATATGTTAATCAATACATTAAATAGTATAATTAGATGGAAAAATATCATGCGAAACACAACCATAAGTTAGAAGTTCTCACGGATCTCACAAAATTTAGAGTTCCCAAATGATCAAGCCCCAATATATAGTAAGGTTCATACGAGAACTGTAACCAAATAAGAGAATAATAAAATGGTCGAATCACATGTGATTTATGCGACTTTGACCTCGAAGTCAGGTCGTGGGCCATGTAGCCCACACACCTTGATGTTAACCGTTAGTGTGATTTTACATGTGATTTGGCTGTTTTTGTGTTTTTATATTTAATATTGTTCTCGTTTGCACCTATATATATATATAATACAGGGTTGGGTTTTAGGGGAAAACCACAAAAAAGTGGAAACCAATGAATGTCTTGAAAACCATTCATCTGTAAGGTATGTGTACATACGCATAAAAGTAATTTGTGTGGTATGCACATGTGCATAGAAACCATGAAACCTTATCAATTACTTTCATGCACATGCATACCGTATAGATGAATGGTTACTAGGGTGACCATCAGTTTTTTCATTTTTTTGTGGTTTTCTCCTGAACCTGAGTGTCTATATAAATATGAGCTTATTGGTTGATTTCTCCATCTTTCACTATTGCAGGCCTCCCTCCTCATGATTTCTCTTTGATGGACATTCTTCCTGGAAAGTTGGGAACTTATGCACTTTACTGCTTTCATGTTTAGCAGATTAACTGTATGGGGTAGAGGCAAGGTATGCGTACATCCTACCGTTGACCCTATCTCTATGAGATGTACTGGGTTCGTTTTGTTTTGGTTGTTTAATTGTTTATTTTTGACCTGCATGACTCTGGTGATAACCTAAGATAATAAGATGCAAGTTTCTTTCGTGTTAACTGTTTTTGTTTGTATATAATATTTATCGTTATTATTTTACGACCAATTATAACACTGAATGGTCAAACCCCCTTCATCCAAAATATCTAACTCCGCCTCTCGTAATCCGTACATCAAAATTAAAAATATAGTCAACGTCGTATTTTAACATCAATATCAATTGTAATCCTTGCATTAAAAAATTATAATTAATGTCATATTATTTGAGATACGAATGAATCGATCCTAGGTTTTGGTACAATTCTCTTCCCACCGAGCCCCTTTTCTCCTCGGTCCACAGAGACAAAATGTCACCTCATATGGCTCCTCGTTCAATTCTTTCGAAATTATTGGATCTTTTTCTGCTTTCGAGAATCCCCTCTTGTTTTTGTTATATATCATCTTGTTGTGTTATATGAATCGATCCTAGTTTATCATAGTTGTAGTCTTTTTTTGGGGTTTGGTTCGTTTTCCTTTAAATCCTGTATGAATAAAGTTGTCTGTGTGAATTAATTTGTTCGTATAAATTGGAAAACTTTTTGTTTGGGGTGGATTTTTTCATAGATGGATGGAGTATTTTTCTAAATAGTATAGACATGTTTGGGAAAGCTTCTTCCTAGAAACTTACTGAATAAGACATTTTTATATCATTAATTAAGTCACTTTCAAACAATCATGACTTATAAATAGCTGACCGAATAAAGTGTGAGTCTCATTAAGCTCTTTAAGCTGCTAACAAGGGTTTTAGGGTTTAGGCAGATCCTTAGTCCGCTAACGTCAACATTATCTTCATTAATATCACTACAAATTAATCATGGTTCTATTGATTCTTTCTTAATAACTAATTTCTTGTTTCTCCAATTACTTAGTTTAATTATGGCAGTTTATATGTTCATTAATACTTTTTTCGTTCATTTTTCTTCAATTCAGTTCTAATCGTATTCAACTTTACCACCGCCTCCTATTAAGATCATCGTGGATTATTAATGCGGCCGCCAGTCACATATCTCTAACCAAATACGTACGTACCACAACTACAAAATAGAAATTACACCCGGCTTAAATTACATATCTTACATGATTCTGATTAATCACTACAACAAAATTGGGTTTATAAGACATAAAAAAATTTCTAAACGTCGTGATAGACGCTTTATAAAACTTCATTTATAGTACCAAAAAATAAAGTGTCTTATCTTAAAGGCATTGTAATAAGTTTTTTAGACTTTGTAACAAATTTAGAATTTTTTTGGCATCCTATAAACTCAATTTTCACTACAACAAAATTGGTGACGCCTAGAATGTCCAAGCACCCTAATAGAATACTTTATGGAACTTAAGTTTATAAGACCAAACTATAAAACATCTTATCTAAAAGTGTTACAGTTAATTTATAGGACGCTTTTGAGCATTTTAACAATTTCTTTTTAAGATGTTTTAAAAATAAAGTATCCTATAAAACCAATTTTGTCATAGTGTTTGTTGTAGTGAGTGTAGTAAATCTTACCCAGTACGTTAAATGACCAATCTTACACAACCGGGTATGATATTTATACCGAGTGACATTCAGAACAGTTATCGTACCGGGTGGCTTAATAAACAAACCAGATAAGATCAGCAGTGCTGTATAGGAATCCCAATAAGTGCATCATCAATAAACAAGCAGCATGCAGCAAAAGTCTAAATTGAACCTCAAAGAGTACCATTTAAGTTTTTAGTCTCCAACATTTTAACTAAGGAAACAGGAGAAACAAGAGAACATAAAGGGATCATCAAACAGCAAATCCATATATATATATATATATATATATATATATATATATATATATATATGTATCAGATATATGCCTGCCATCAACATTGCTGCTGCAACCTTCTCACTGCAAATAGAATCAACAGTCCAGTTAATTAGTCAGATGTATGTTAAAATGATTTTGATATCATATGTGCTAAATCACTACAACGAAATTGGGTTACCAAAGGGTGTTTGGCCTAGCCATAGAGGTTCAAACCTCACCAAAGATGAGGAGGGTGTGTGAGTTTATTTGTTGCATTTGCCGTATATAAACGCTATATACTTAAAAAAAAATAGGTTTGTAGGACGCAAAAAGTCTATAAATGTCCTAATAGATTGTTCATTATACGACCAAACAAATATATGCGTCTCCCGTAAAAGTGTTGTCATAAGTTCATAAGACGTTTTTGGACGTCTTAATGAGTTTATTAGGACATTTTTGAAATAACTCGTATTAACTTTTTTAGAAAAACAAACGTTCTATAGAAAACTTAATGATATTCTCAAAAGTGTCTTAAAAACTGTTTAGATTTCCATAAGCATGCTATAAAAACTTGTTGTAATGCTTTTACATAAGACACGAAAATGTTTGGTCTTATAACTGCGTTTCCTCTAAACAAGATTTTGTTGTAGTGAATCTTGATAAACCCTAATATCGATACAACATAACTGGCTTTATAAGACGGTTAGATTGTAAGTAATACAATAGAACTTAGGTTTGTAGAACCAAACTATAAAACGCCCATACTAAAAGCGTTACAATAGGTTTATAAGATGTTTTTAGACGTTTTAACAATTTTTTAAGACACTTCTAAAACAAAGTGTCCTATTACGTATTTTATATGACACTTTTGTGAAGTGTCCTATAAACCCATCTTTTTATGGGACACTTACGTTTATAGGACACTTTTTCAAATAAGTGTCGTATAAAATAGTTACTACGACACTTTACTTGTTAAAACATCTAAAAGTGTCCTATGACTTTTTTGTTTGGTTCTATAAACTTAAGTTCTATAAAGTATGTTTTCCGGACGTAGGCGTCCTATAAAATCACTTTCGTTGTAGTGTATATCTTACTTATTTATGATGATTGTTGAAGAGACTCAAGTATTCCTCATCTTCATGACGAAAACCATCATCTCCGGGAGGTTGTGCGCACAGAGCATTGACCGATGATATGGTGTTGGTCATCAACAAGTTGAGGGCTTCTTCTCGTTGAATGGGTAAAGAACCTTCATATTCATCTCGAATCTCAAACGACAAGGTCAGTATGCTTCCTTCACTTACGGCTATCGGGTTCCAAGGGAGAATAGCAGCTCCAAAAACCAAGATGGGTACGATATCAGGGTCGTCCCCTTCGATCATTGCATACACCGTTGCGTTGTGCAAGAAGGTCCATACGATATACATGCCAATCGAGTCCGTAAAGCATGCTTGTAAACACTTCATGTTATCCATTCCAGGAATCTACAAAATTGATGTTCAAATATCCATTGCAAGATTTCAGGAAAAACTGATACTACAACAAAATTGGATTATAGGATGCTAAAAATATCTACGTGTCATAACAGGTTGTTTTGTAATAAGTTTATAAGTGACTGTTTGGTTAGTTTTCTATTAAGTCATGTATGGATAAAGTTGTCCATATAGATTAGTCTGTATGTATTAATTGAAAAGATGTTTGATAAATGAAATGAGTATTTTTTTTATTGGGAGGGGCAGATTTGAAAAAACTTGAATATAACCCTTTATTGTTTTTTTTTTATTAACCTGAATATCCAACCCGTTATGGGAGCCGACTAATCCGAGACCTGCTTTACAGATAGCCCGGAGTCACCATATTTGAACCTCCGTGGCCACAAGGGGATTTTTTTTTTCCTCCTTGGATTTGAACTGGGACCTCTCGGTACTTTTGACCTTTGGAGCCAAGCTCAAACCAATCAGGCACCACCCTTGTGGTTATAACCCTTTATTGTTTAGTCCTATATATAAACGTAAATGCTATAAAGCAGTCTATTAAACCACCTAGACATTTCTTTGTCCTATAAAACCAGTTTTGTTGCAGTGAAAAGAACCGACAATGCACATGAACAACGGGTCAATTAAACACATTGTACGAATACTGAGTACCTCGATATGCAACACAGAAACACCCGTCGATGGATCGTTGCCTATGGGTACATGTAGATCCTTCCTTGCGAACCCTCTCAGTACAGCCATATCCCACTGCCGATAATCATTCAAACATGAGGAAGTTCATAAGAGATTCAGTAAATATCGATGCGATCTAGCTAGGTATTGCAATTTCTGATATAAATAGAGCTAGATCGATACGCACGTACCTTTGGGCGGCATTCTGCACAGCGAAGGGCGTCATATATATGATCTACGGTAAAAGATGACCGCACAGAACTCGCCATCATGATGACATGACCATCTGGTCTTCCCAAATCGTATTGAAAGTAGTCCCATTTAAGATATATAGGTTCAGCACTACCCAAACTATGTACCAAGTTCCAGTTTTTCTTGGTGGAAACATTCATGTTACTGATACATGTTTGGCTCATTCTATGAGCCAGCCTCAGCAAACTTGAGATCCCACCACCATGAGCTAGTTATATGAACAGAAATCATGAAATCAGAACTGATTGATTTGTGTGTGTATATATATATATATATGTATGTATGTATGTATGTATGTATATGTATGTATGTATGTATGGCTAGGATCAGGGGAAAACCACAAAGAAAATGAAAAACTGATAACCCTTGTAACCGTTCATCATTTGGACGGTATGCATATGCACGTATGCGTGTTAGAAACTAAGAAACAACTTCAATTACTCGTATGCATATGTGTATATCATATAAATGAATAGTTACAAATATATATGTCACTACAACAAAATCGGGTTTATAGGACATTCCTAAATTTTAAGCGTCCTAATAGACCTCTTTATAGGACTCAGTTTATAGGACCAAAAAAATAAAGTGTCTTATCTAAATGTATTGTAATAAGTTTATATGACATTTTTTGATGTCGTAATAATTTTTTTATGACACTTTTAATATAAAGTGTCCCATTATTAACTTTATAGAACATTATTTGAAAAGTTGTCCTATAAAAACAAGTGTCCTTTAAAAATTGAGTTTATAAGACAATTTCTCAAAAGAGTTCTATAAAGTTGCTAATGCGACATTTTGTATTAAAAATGACTTCAAAAACTTGTTAAGATGCCCAAAAACATCATATAAATTTATTACAACACCAGGACACTTTATATTTTGGTCCTATAAATTAAGTCATAAAAAACGGTTTATTGAGACACTTAGAGATTGTGGGGGTCCTATAAACCCAATTTTGTTGTAATGTGTTCATCAGATTTTCATTATATATATATATGGTTCAGGTTTAGGAAAAACCGTAAACAAATGAAAAACTGAAGAACACCATAGTAGCTTTCATCTGCACACGGTATGCACATGTACATATAAGTAAGCTGTAAATAATTTATGTGTCATGCACATGTGCATTAAAATCAGGAAGCATATTCAATTACTTGTATGCACATGAGCATACGTACAGGTGAATAGTAATGCTTAGTTTTTATTTTTAGGGTTTTTCCGTCAACTTCATTTCACTCTGACTCCCCTCCCCCCCCCCTCTATATATATCATGTAGAGAATTCAACAAATTAACTGTCCATGTCCATTTCCATATTTGGACGTCGAAACTAATATAGATCGCGATGAGCTATTGATTTACCGTTGATGTGTTGATTGATTATGAATTGATTCTCAGCTTCGTGCTTCAAAGTTGTTATCCATCGACTTGCACAAAACGCGAAACCAGATGATATATGCTTTCGGAACAGCTGATTCAGGTATGCGTTAGTACTTCGCTCGTTATGCTCTACCCATGTTATCTGATCATAATAAATGAAACGAACACGTACCCAACACCGTTAAAACGTTCAGCAAAGTACGCATCTACACGAAAATCTAGTTCAATGTTATAAAGATATTGGTTTTTTTACCCTTGAGAATCCATCATCCATTTGCTCAATCAAACAGCCTGAAGGCTTTCTGTGGTACTTCAAACAAGTGATGTCTAAAGAGACATCAACAATCAACCAGAGATGCTCATTCGCTTTTCTACTTCTTCTCAAGAAGTATGTTTCCCTCTTTGTAGGATTTGGGGTCGGTAACCCGAATTCAGCCTTCATCTGAAAGACGACCAAAAGCAACGTTTATATTTAGAGAAATACATCGTTTAGATTTGCTTCGTCGTACGTACAGTGAAGTCATTTGCTTGAACATATATATATAGAGAGAGAAAGATTCAAATAAGAACAGTAACCGAATAAAAGAACATGAAAATGGCCAAATCACATGTGATTTTACAGTAACTATCAACGCAAGAGTATGCGGAATTGCATGTGATTTTACACGTGATTTTAATGTAAAATCACATGTGATTTGACCGTTTTCTTATTCTCTTATTTGGTCATATTGTTCTCGTATGCATTTGACTCTATATACATATATAGGGCCTTCATTTGAGAACCCATATAATTGTGATAACTTTCAGAACATGTGCTATTTCATATGATTTTTTTTCCATCTATGACTTGGATTAGTGATATATTGATTAACATATATTTGTTTCACAATGTGGTTATTTCACATATATTTTATTCATAAAGTGAACCCTTTTTTTATGTTTGTGGAACAAAAAATTAAGTTGTAAACCAAATACATATGAAAAACACATTGTGAATCGAATATATGGTAATCAATATATTAAATTCTAGCATTTGATGGAAAAATTCATGTGAAACAATACTTTACAATAATAGTTCTCACAGTTTTCACAATATATGAGGTTCTCATTTGATATATACATATATATATATATATAGAGAGAGAGGGAGAGAGTGAGGTTAAGGGAGAACTCTTAAAAAGTGAAAATTGAAGAACATCATAATAACCGTTCACTTATATGGTATGCACATATGCATACAAGTAATTAAAGATGTTTCCTTCTATGCACATATGCATGTGCATACTGAAAAATCACTTATATACTTGTGCATATCATATAAATGAATGGTTACCAGGATGTTTATCAATTTTTCATTTTTTTTTGCAGTTTTTCCGAAACCTGACCTATATATAATTATATATATATATATATATGATGATGATTACCGCTATAAGAGAACTATCAGGGTTCCCATCGTCTGCAATCTTGCCAAGAATACTAGCGTCGGAGACGATATTTGAGAAGGTTGCTAACCATTGCTCCTGTTTTAGTTCAGTAAATAAGAAACAAGTACAATGTGATCTGTTAGTTGGATCGATCAATCTACGCATACGGGTTAATTTAATTGCGGTTTCGAGTTAAAGAATACTAATTACCGAATCCATGAACATATTAACAAGTTCGACAGGAGTTTTAAGCACAGTTTCCCTAGCCCATGATGCTTCCGTTGCCTTAGGTTGCGTTGGTGGTTTCATCAAGCTCGATATTTCTCGTGGGTCGTCAAGCGCACGACGAAGGATCTCGACAACCAATCCTTCACGACGCTTATTGTTAATCATGAACCTGTTTCTGTAGACCTCTCTATCTAGCTGCTCTCCTAGATCATCATGTTTCCATAAGGGACTGCCCGCATAAGCCATATGATAAAGTTCGCCTGCTGCATTATCTGCGAACTCGAGAACTTTTTCTTTGATTGCCTCTGCTGTCAACGAGAGGTACACGTTATCTGCAGCGTTAGAAGCATCAATCCACGTATAGATCAGGCCGTCATCGCTATCATAACTATCGTCATCCTGTAATGATAAGAAAAATAGGTAAAATTCTAGCAACTAGATTCCGTAAATATATGTATCAGCAATGTGACATATAAAGAAACCCCGAGGATTTATAGCTGAATCGAACAACATTTCAGTTCTCGAAAATCTATCTTGTAATCAAGATTATCGGATCAAGAAGTAATGATTAATTAGTGCCGTCAGCGGTTGGATTGGTTGCGGGCTTTCTTGCACTCGTTTAGGTATATAACCTTAAATGAGATTTTGATTAAATTCATAACCTTATTATTTCCTAAAAGAAAAATGGGTTCGTATTCGTTAAAAAGGTCGTGGATTTAAAAGCAATATCTCATTTAAGGTTATATTCTTGTGTACGTCGATGATTTAGGGTTTTACAAGTGTAAACACGTCGCTTTTACGCAATCAAATTTTAGAAAACGAACGAAAGAATGTGATGTCTGCTCGGGTTGTACCTCGGCATATTCCAGTCTAAATTCTTCCATTGTCATCTGATCATCAAAAATAAGCCATTTAATTAGTTGAAATCAAGAAAATTGGCTTAATTAGAAACAAAACCTAATTCACAATCAGCCAAAATCAGAAAGCACATCCACTGCAATGAGTAGATTTCTCTATATAAGCTTAATTTCACACTACAAAAACGCACATATTTAAGGTTAAGCTCTATGTGGTTAATTATAGAATATATATATATATATATATATATATATGTATATATCCTCTTTTACTCTTGTTCTATATGAGAATATGTGAAACCTCATTTTAATCTTAAAAGAAGAGAAAAGAGTTACAACATATACAATATTGTATATATAAAATGATTCAAATTTAATCGATGTGAGACTCTAACATGTATGATAATGACATAATATATACCCGATTAATAATAAAAAGATGATAATAAATAAAATGATTATATATATATATATATATATAGAGAGAGAGAGAGGAGGTTTACTTTGCAAACATGTTATTTGTACAAACCTCATTCAACCGATCATAATTTTTTATTTTGTTCATTTTTTCTAATTACAAGAGGTTGATTAATTATTTTTATTGTGGAATGTGTTAATCATAGATATTATATATTATCTTCATTATATTAATTTTAGAGAAATATATGAAACAGTTTCATTAAAATTTCACAAGTATCATATAAAACAATTTCATAACTATGTATGAAACAACTTGATCAAAAAAAGTATTATATGAAACAATTTCATGAAAAAAAAATTTAGATAATTAAACAATCAAATCGCCAGACAAAGATGATTTACACAGTTTGTACAAAGACAAGTGATTTGCATTTCATCCTCCCTCTATATGAGCACCAGATTTATATACAAACTTCAAGTAGTTGTTCATATCTGGATCAGATCCATTCAAAGCATTCTTATAATCTCACCAATTAAAAATAAATTGTACTTAAATTTTTTTCTTGAAATCAAGAAAACAAAATTTTCAGGCAGCCAAACCCTAAAATTGTATAACAATAATTTTCAGCTGATTTGATTAAGACCTTCTTCCTCAACCTACATGTGTATACTTACACACACAATCCCACCTGCAGAAACACACACATACACACACACCCCTCTACTTATATATATATATATATATATATGTATATATATATAAATACACACATATGCAAGAAATACTAGATTTTTGCTAAAAAAAAGCACAGATCTTTCCCCCCTCCCCCTCTCTCTTTGTTTCAGATGATAGAAATAAATTATACCCGCTCGCGTTTAACGTCGCTAGAGCTGCCCAACACCATTCGGTCATATCCGTTCGAAGCCATATATCGATCTGATCAAGCAAAAAATTGTATATCAGTTCCACTTAACATCTGCACAATTGATTAGATTTGAAGCCTACAATTTCTATCACTCAACATATGAAAAAGACATACTTTTACATTCACATTTCTCTTAAGATCAATAACGCTTTTCCGAAAAAACATAACACATTTGACACGAAGAAATAATCCGAAGCGCATACGACTAAAATCAACTTGTGGATTTCTTTAATCCATATCTTCTGTACATATAAATAAGTGGTTTAATTAAGATCCTCCTGAACTCATGTCCAGGTATATATAGATATACATTACATATATATATATACACACACAAAAACAAATACACACATATATATATATATACACACACACACACAAATACACCTGCCAGAATGAATAAAGAGCTCATGAAATCATCAAACCTGAAGGGAAATAGCTCTATTTGGCTGCAAATTAAAGGGGTTTCCTCTCTCTCTCTCTCTCTCTCTATATATATATATATATATATATATATATATATAGATATATGGGTGTATTTGTGAGGGAGGAGATGGTTGTATATACACTTTTTATTGTATGTATTTGTGTTTCTGTGTGCGTGTTTGTGTCTTTTTGTGTTTAGTAGCAACAATGTCTTATCTCTTCTCTCTTCTTGCTTTGCCAGCTCATGAAAATTAAGCACCAACCTCAGTTTTCATCTTTGAAATTTATTGCCCTCAAAATATAATTATATTTTATATATAATTTTAATTGAAATATATTTGTTGGGGTCAAAATTTAATTGGGTTTTATATATAATTTTTATTGAAATTTATTGCCCTCATAATATTTAATTGGTTTTATATAATGCAAATATCTAATAACATTTAATTCAATTTGTTATATAATTTATTACCAATTCATATGTTTGGGATTGTTTATTTGAAACTTATGTTTTTCTACAAAAACACTTATGAACTTATTATAAGTCAGAAAAGTTTAACTTCTTTAAAAACTTCTTATTACCGGTTTGGCACAGGTATAAGTTGTTTATCTAAACACTCAAAAGTGATTATTACTAGTGTCACACTGGAATAAGTCAATAAATTATTTTTATAAGCAATTCCAAACACCCCTATAGTTTGTTTTAGTATTTAATTATTAATCAATTAGTTAAAGAAATTAATGAAAAATGATAATACAAACAATTATTAAATCCATATATATATATATATATAGAGAGAGAGAGAGAGAGAGAGAGAGAGGGGTTGGTTAATATACAACCTCTTATATTTGTACAACCAATACAACTCAATCTCAACCGTCCATTTAATTTGATGAATATGTAATTTCATAGAAGTTTTGATTGTTTCATAATATAAAGTATTAATCATAATTAATGAACTTTATTCATCTTTCATAAATATTTAAATCATAATAAAATAACTCTCATTATTTCCATAAATATTTCAATTTATTAGGTTGTATTGGTTGTACAAATGCGATGTGTTGCATTTGAAACAAACTCTCTCTCTCTCTCTCTCTCTCTCTCTATATATATATATATATATATATATATTGTTGATATTTAATTTTGTAGTAATTACTTGCAAATAGAAAAGTAAAAATGAATTAATTACTAAATTGCCAAAAATATAATGTATTAATGTTTGGATGTGTTCGGTAATTAGCACTACCAAACTGGTCAACATTTCCGCACGGATAGGGCTGCCGGAAAATAAGGCATCGGTGATTTTTTTTTGGCGGATTTTCTGGTTTTCTGCCAGAAAAATGGCCGTAATTTTTTTTCTCCGGTTTATTTAAAAGATCTTGATTAAATTAAAAATTGAATTATTTTATCTATGGAAATACTCAGTTTTCTAGTAGTGTAGAGAGGGTGTTTTGATTATGGTTCTCATTTCTAATGATCAAACATATAATGAATTATTTGAAGTTGTAATAAATATTTTTGTAAAAATAATTAAATGATTTAAATAAAGAAAAAAAAGAATTAATAATAGTATAATAATAAGTAAAATTTTGAATTGAAAATACTAAAGCATCTTCAAAAGCTATGTTATATTTCCTTTTAAGTATTAAAAGTCAAAATCTTTAAAAGAATTACATTGACTCCAATAGTTACTCTATTTTAGCAATTCAAATATTAGTAATATCATTAAAATATCCAAACGCATTTAATAAAATATTATTTCTCAATCCTAACATTTATTTTCAATACCTTTTATTGTTGGAAAATATTAAAATAATAGTTTTATTTCTTTAAATTTAGAGACTTTTACGGTCTCTTTTTCTCTCTCTATTTTAACATACAAGATGACATAATTGTTGAGTGCAAAAATTGTTAAAATCTTTTTTTTTCTCTCTATTTTAACATAACTGTTGAAGATGTTCTAATATATATAACTACCTGACATCAACAAATATATATATATATATATATATATATATATATTTGAAAACAAAATCCCAACTCCTTTTAAAATATTTAATTATTATTTCAAAAATTAAAAAAAAAATATTTGAGTGCTTTTCAATTTTCAAATTTAACATACAAATGATAAAATAAAATCGTACATTTAGAACAACAGACTGATATCGATCTTAAATTTGATGAGGATGTCACAATGATTTTGTTGAGGATTAATTAGGGTATATGATGTTGCAGTTATTGTGTTTGTATTATGCCTGTAATTTGAGAATTTTGTGCAATCTTTTATTGTCGGAAAATATACTATATATCGATTTCGATCTTTCGTGAAAATAGTCACGTAGATCATTTCTGATAAAATACTATATAAAATGTAGTTTTGAAATTGGAATAAAGTATTTGTAAATGACCAAAATGTTTTTTTTTTTTTTTGAATTTTTTAAAACTAAAAGTACTTTAATGAAATAATTATTTAATATATAAAATAATATAAAATACACAATCCAAATATAGCCATAAATCAAACAACGTTACTAAATGGATGCTAAAACGGTCTCAAAATAGTTAATTATTTATCATGTAAACTAAATACATAATAGACATAAGTCAATGTTTATTATATTAATTAAAAAGGTTAAATGTATGAAATAACAACTTACTTTCATAAATTTTTTTATTATAACATTTTATTTTATTTTTGTTTATTACATCAATGTACATTCAAATTATTTTTTATTAAGATATCGCACTTTAAAAAATCTACCCATTATAGCAATGGGTAACCCTATTATCTTTTAAACCAGTTAACCCCTTGACTTTTTTTTGTTTGTGTGGCTTTAATGAGGTGATGTGAATGACACATCATTTTGATGACTTAATTAAAATAAAAATAAAAACATATTTCAAATTATTATTAGTGATTTTTATTTTTCATTGTTATGATTTAAAAAAAAACCATTAATTTTTTTGACTTTTTCTTATTAAGTTGAATACAAATTAAATATTTTAGATTAAAATATAAATATGCTACATTATTTTCTAGATATATTTTGTTTGTAAAAAAGGTAACACTTCTTATTTTATGTTGTTAAAAAAATACATATCTTTTAAAGTTCTCTCTAAAATGTTAACAAAATAAATTGTGTTCTACAATTTTTTAATATTGTAATGTTAATAAATAATTCAAAAAAATCTAAGTAATTTAATATATTTATACGTCAAGTAATTTTTTTTTGAATAAATATAATATA